CATTCAAATCTTCTTGAAATTACGAACAGGAATTTATATGTTTCAGGGTGGAGATCTCGACTGTTTACAAGTTCTAAAAAGGGGGTGTGATCCCCAGGGGACTCTCCCTTTATTTCATTTGTTTTGTTTTTTTGTCCTGTACAAGAATATATATGGTTTAGGGGTAGGGATCTTGACCGTTTACAAGTTCTTAAACAGGAGGGGGTGGGGGTGACCCCAGGGGACTTGCCTTATATTTCATTTGATTTGTTTTAGTCCCATACAAGAATATATATGGTTTCCGCATGGGGATCTTGACCGTTTACAAGTTTTCAAAAAGAAGAGGGGTGGGGGTTACCCCAGTGGATTTCCCCTTAATTTGTTGATTTGTTTTATTGTCCCATTCAAGAATATATATGGTTTAGGGGTGTGGATCTAGACCGTTTACAAGTTATCAAAAAGAAAGGGGATGGGGGGTGACCCCCATGGACTTCCCCTATATTTCATTTGATTTGTTTTATTGCATACAAGAATATATATGGTTTAGGGGTGGGGAGCTCAACCGTTTACAAGTTCTCAAACAGGAGGGGGTGGGGGTGACCCCAGGGGACTCGCCTTTTATTTTTTATTTGATTTTGTTTTCTTGTCCCATACAAGAATATATATAGTTTCAGGGTGTGGATCTTGACCGTTTACAAGTTTTCAAAAAGAAAGGGGTGGGGTTGACCCCCATGGACTTCCCCTATATTTCATTTGATTTGTGTTATTGTCCCATACAAGAATATATATGGTTTAGGGGTGGGGATCTCGACCGTTTACAAGTTCTTACACAAGAGGGGGTGGGGGTGACCCCAGGGGACTCCCTTTGTATTTCATTTGATTTGTTTTATTGTCCCATACAAGAATATATATGGTTTCAGGGTGGATATTTTGACCGTTTACAAGTTTTCAAAAAAAAAAGGGGGTGGGGTGACCCCAGGGGACTCCCCTTCAATTTCATTTGATTTGTTTTATTGTCCCATTCAAGAATATATATGGTTTAGGGGTAGGGATCTCGACTGTTGACAAGTTATCAAAAAGAAGGGAGGTGGGGGTGACCCCATGGACTTCCCCTATATATCATTTGATTTGTTTTATTGTCCCATTCAAGAATATATATGGTTTAGGAGTGGGGATCTCCACCGTTTACAAGTTCTTAAACAGGAGGGGGTGGGGGTGACCCCAGGGGACTTGCTCTGTATTTCATTTGATTTGTTTTATTGTCCCATACAAGAATATATATGGTTTCAGGGTGGAGATTTTGACCGTTTACAAGTTTTCAAAAAAAAAGGGGGTGGGGTGACCTCAGGGGACTCCCCCTCAATTTCATTTGATTTGTTTTATTGTCCCATTCAAGAATATATATGGTTTAGGGGTAGGGATCTCGACTGTTGACAAGTTATCAAAAAGAAGGGGGGTGGGGGTCAATGACCCCCATGGACTTCCCCTATTTATCATTTGATTTGTTTTATTGTCCCATTCAAGAACATATATGGTTTAGGGGTGGGGATCTCGACGGTTTACAAGTTCTTAAACAGAATGGGGTGGGGTGACCCCAGGGGACTCGCCATTTATTTCATTAGATTTGTTTTATTGTTCAATACGAGAAAATATATGGTTTAGGGGTGGGGATCTCGACCGTTTACAAGTTTTCAAATAAAAGGGGGGTGGAGGTGACCCCAAGGGACTCCCCCTTAATTTCATTTGATTTGTTTTATTGTCCCATTCAAGAATATATATGGTTTAGGGGTGGGGATCTCGACTGTTTACAAGTTATCAAAAAGAAGGGGGGTGGGGTGATTGATCCCCATGGACTTCCCCTATATATCATTTGAATTGTTTTGTTGTCCCATTCAAGAATATATATGGTTTAGGGGAGGGGATCACGATGGTTTACAAGTTCTTAAACAGGATAGGGTGGGGTGACCCCAGGGGACTCGCCTTTTATTTCATTAGATTTGTTTTATTGTCCCATACAACAATATATATGGTTTCGGGGTAGGGATCTTGACCGTTTACAAGTTTTTAAAAAGAAGGGGGTGGGGGTGACCCCCATGGACTTCCCCTATATTTCATTTGATTTGTGTTATTGTCCCATACAAGAATATATATGGTTTAGGGGTGGGAATCTCAACCGTTTACAAGATAAAAGCACACCGTTTACAAGTTCTCAAACAGGAGGAGTTTGGGGTGACCCCAGGGGACTCGCCTTTTATTTCATTTGATTTGTTTTGTTGTCACATACAAGAATATATATCGGTATGGTTTCAGGGTTGGGATCTTGACCGTATACAAGTTTTCAAAAAGTAGGGGGTGGGGGTGAACCTGGGGACTCCCCAAATAATTCATTTGATTTGTTTTATTGTCCCATACAAGAATATATATGGTTTAGGGGTGGGGATCTCAACCGTTTACAAGATAAAAGCACATTCTCAAATTGAAAGGGAATGGGGGTAAGAATATATATGGTTTAGGGAGACTTAATTATCTACAAAATGTCTAATAATGAACAGTTAATTTCAAATTTCATTTATACAGTCCTACTAGTAAATTTCAAACTTTATATATACAGTCCTACAGATCTTATCAGGAAACAGAAAATTTTCAAATAAATCTGTTACTCCAATGATATTATATGCTAAGATATAACCCAGATATAATTAATAATTAATAATGCAATTAACTTCAAAATGTCTAATAATATAGCTTATAATCATTACCACTTAGGAAATAGATAATTTTCAAATAAATCTGTCACTCCAATTTTTATTGGGAGATAAGACATTATGCTTAGTCATAAAAAAGATAACAAGAGTCAAATATTTAAAAATTTCACTTTTGGATATTAAAAATGGTGATAACTCACAAAGGAGATATACTTATATCTTGAAAATTGAACTAGACCTTCATTAAGTCCCAGGAAACAACATATTTAAATATGAAAAAAATTTGTTAAAGCGTTTTCATGTTATTGTGCTGACACTGTTTGGCAGCCGCCCGTAGAACCGCCCAGCCGCCCACTGTATATCACCATTTTAATGACCGATATTTCCTTCGAAAATCCGGTTAAAAACTGGTTATACCCTTATGTGCTAGTTTTACCTAGGGTAGACATGTTTTCATCTGTTTGGAATAAAATGAACATTTTGTTGAGAACACACAATCAGTCATTGCCAAGTTTCAAAACAATTGGCTATGTGGTTTCAGAAGAGAAGATATTTGAAAGTGTATGTTGGATGACAGATGGACAATGACAACAGATTCCGAGCAATAGCAATCGCTCACATGACCCAAATGAATGTGTTGAGCTAAAAAATCATAACTAGCATAAATTTTCTTTTATTAAAGGGGCATTAGCTACGACATACATGTTTAAAAAAAAATAAAATATGAACTTTTTTTGTTCAATCATTAATGAAAGTGAAATAGTGAAATTATAATTCACTTTTAGCAGCCATCTTGGTTCAAATTTGTCAAAATAAGGCAAGAAACATTGCTGATGAATTATTCACTTGCAAGTGAATAATTCAACCTCTTTGAATCCATTCATGTGACCTTCAATTAAACCCCTTAGCTGGAGATGGGTTATGCATGTATTCAGCTATTAAAAGGAAAAAAATGTCACATTGAAAGTGAAACAAGAATGATCTATTTGGTTGACTGATTCGATCCACTAAAAAAAGGATGATTCTTATACAAGTAAAAACGATGATAAACATACTTTTTAAACTATAACATGAAATCAAACAGACCTAGAAAAATACAATTGCATGTGGTTGCTATCTATATATATTTAAATTTATGTTTATATTGGGTTATATGACCGTCAGCATTCTTCAGAGGTCATCTCAATGGTTAATTAGATGGCGTCTAGACTAAAATACACAAAAAATGCTGGTACATATTATCATGTCCATTCATTGTTAATTGTTTAAGACTTTTTGTAATTTTGATATACATTTTAGTATGTTATAAATAAAATACGAGAATTTGAGTCAAATCGGTGAACATGAATTTGACAGCTGATGCCCCTTTTTATAATTTTGAAAAATGTTTATATAGCCTACGATGAGATTATCAATGGGAGATACCTCAAACAAAATTAATTTCAATTTATATTCAAATATTAAAAATCTTATTAAAATACAGATCCTGTGTCCATGCATTGCTAACGAGGATCTGACAACGTTTTGTTCTGGTAATTATTACATCAGCCAATGAAAGTCATGCCTACAAAATTCTGGAGGTGTGTTTCAGATTTAACCAGAGGATCCTGAAAGGTCTCAGATTGAGATATTACTACATTTTCACTGTTCTGAGGGATATAATTAGAAATCTTCCTTTTCTCATTATTTCTATTAATAGAACTCATTGAAAACAGACAACACATTTTTCTGTTTATTTTCTAAATGGATTGTATTCAAACAACCTTCTCTCAAAAAAAATATAAGTATCTGTTGTGCAGATTTCCATTACACAGGTAAGGATAATTTTCACTTAAATTTTCAACATAAATTATCCTGGTATGTTGCTTTAGAAAAGAAATGACAAATGTTAACTTTTTAAAAAAAAATATGAACTTTTAAAATCCCTTGATTTTTGTATATAAGTATGAAAGTATAAAAAGTTCATCATGAAATGAACAGATCAAAATGTGAAGTAATGCTACCCAAATGGATGGTACAACCTACTTTTCATGGATCAGTGGTTTTGGTCATTCATACAATTAAATTTCAGACTGGGACAATTTGATGTAAGGTACACGTCATTGTGCTGTCTTCATGAAATGTCCTCTGTGGAAACTTGAAGTTGTGATATACAGAAAATAATCATTAGAAAGATGGCATACCCTTTATTTCACAGTTTGATGATCACAGTCAGGAATTACTTTTATGCATCTAAAGCAAAATATCTTTTCATAGGTTGTCTGCAGGGCTCAGCATTCATTAAATACAGTGATATTAAAAAAGTAATGAACATACCTCCAAAATAAGACAGCAAATATAGCTGCTATACAACCTTGGAATACAATTAGAGAAAACTGTTCTGGTACTGTTATACAACAACAAGTCAAGATGTAGTCTAGAACAACACCTGCAAAACAATAGATAGATTCAAAGTAAAACTTTACTACCAAGATAATCAGTATCACCTAACATCAACAAAAGTCAGAAGTAAAACAGAAATTCATTCTGAATTAAAGATCAACTTGAAACTTCCAGTTTATTTCCAAAGTAATTTGAAATTTTAAGTTATTAAAATCATTGTAGTTTTAAACTGTTGCATTCCATAAATCAAACTTAAACCTTTTTACAAAAACAGGTACAGAATTTTCTACATTCTGCAGCAAGACAATTGATATGGGTTTTTTTATGTCTTGGCTTCCTGCATAAAAAAAATATAAAAACACTAGAGGCTCTCAAGAGCCTGTGTCGCTCACCTGACTCTACTTTGGTTTTGGAAATTATGTAAAAATAGATAAAAATCATAACAGATACCCAAATAATGATTAAGGCCAAATTTGGTTTAATATTGGCCCCGTAATTTAATAAAAAATCCTGGTCGTCATTTTGAACAGTTAATCAGCAAAAAAAAATAGCAACACTTCATCAGCACCTCATAAGGAACATTAATGCCATGTTTGGTTTCATTCCATTCAGTGGTTCTCTAAGAGAAGACATTTGTATGTATTTCCCATAGGGTCCTATGTTAAACTAAATCCCCTGCTGGCGACCATCTTGGATGATGGATCGGCTTCAAAGTAACAACACTTGGTCAGCACCTCATTAGGAACATTCATGCCATGTTTGGTTTCATTCCATTCAGTGGTTCTCTAAAAGAAGACATTTGTATGTATTTCCCATAGGGTCCTATGTTAAACTAAATCCCCTGCTGGCGGCCATCTTGGATGATGGATCTGCTTCAAAATAAAAACACTTGGTCAGCACCTCATAAGGTACATTCATGCCACGTTTGGTTTCATTCCATTCAGTAGTTCTCTAAAAGAAGACATTTGTATGTATTGTCTATAGGGTCCTATGTTAAACGAAGTCCCCCGCTGGCGGCCATCTTGGATGATGGATCGGCTTCAAAGTAACAACACTTGGTCAGCACCTCATAAGGAACATTCATGCCATGTTTGGTTCCATTCCATTCAGTGGTTCTCTAGAAGAAGTTCAAAATGCAAAAAGCTAATGACGACGAAGGACGACGACGACGGACAATAGACGTCAAGTGATGAGAATAGCTCACTTGGCCCTTCGGGCCAGGTGAACTTATAAATGACCCAGACTTTCAAGAGTACAAAAATCACATGAAAAAATTTCTGGATCCTTCATCATACACATGATTTTCAAAATATTTTTTTCTCCTATACTTGTATACATGTTACCATGTTTCTGATTTCCAAATATATTTTATAAATGTTACTGAGGTTCTGTTAATGTTAATTACCTGACAACATGGCACTAAAGAGGAATGCTGGGAAATAATGATGGAAGTATAAAACTCTAGTCATTGGCCAGAATGGAAAGTAATGAAGCATCCAGCCTAAAAATAACCACCATCCAGCACTGAACATTCTATCTTTATAGGCTGAAATATAAGAACATAAATCTCTCACTATCAATACATATTTAATATTTAACACAAAACTCTATCATATTTACAGTAGAAATCAATGTTTCCAATAATAACAGGTTTCTACATGCTTTGTTCTTTAAAGGGAAAATTCGCGATTTTTTACTTATCATCTTATTATGTTCATAATACCATAAAAAACATATTCACCAAGTTTTATCTTGATATGAAAACTAATAAAGAAGAAAATTGGGAATTATTAATTTTATTTATTCGAACTTCCTGACTTCTGTGACGTAGTTTAAGTCTTTTTGCATGCCGGGAGTGGAATTAATCTCATTTAAGTCTTGTTCATTAATCATCTAATAACGCGATTTAAAGCGCATCGACGACTTTTGGCGTAGCTATTAACCAACTAATAATTAAGAAAGTAAAGTGATCAGCCGTGCAACTTTTAAAAATAAAATGTACGATTTATATTTTAAGGATTTCTGATATGATTATAGTCATTATAGTAATAAAAGTAAATCATACAATATAATATTTTTATGAATTTTTTTTCCGACGGATATTTTCAACAAACATATATAACTGATAGTGTATTAAAAATGCATGTTTGTATTCTCACCTTTTACTTCAGTCTAGCAAACATTTCTCGCTAGTACTGTGTAAAATAAATACAATGTGTATTGTACTGTGACACTTAGTGACTACCTGTTGAATGCGTGGTTAAATTCAAGGTATTTAAAGGTTTGCATTCTGTAATTCTAATCTTTTGATCTTCACTCAGTGAATTTTAGCCGTCACGGTTCACCGTTCCAGGTGTGAACATCATTTCGTATGAATGATAAACGGGAGTGATAGTTTGAGACAGAAAATAAAAAAAGAAATATAATTATTTTGGGGGAGTAATATGGGGGCACAATAACTGGATAGCCGTGGTATATTTTTATATTTTCCGTAAGCTCAGTTTAAAATGAATTATGACTGCTGAATATTTTTGTAACAATGAAATACTGAATTAATTTAATTGAATAAATAATAATGGCATTCTAAACACGAGTGTATGAACTAAAAATTGTACTATTTTAAATTAGAATCGGTAACCTTGCATATTTGAAATAGATAATCACCAATTGCAATTATATAATTTGGTCCGTCCAAAGCGATCTTTATTTACATATTCAGGAATTAATGTCCTTATCAAAATATTTTAAATCTCACAACGTATAAATACTTCAGCCATTTGAAGAAAGATGTTTAAAAAGTTGACAGGAAATTTAAGGTCAACTTTGTCTTATTGGAATGAGATCGAATAATTACGAACAAAAATTATTTTCCGGTTTGAAAAAGATAAAACAAAAATGATAAAAGAGAAATGTGGGTTTGAGACAGAAAAAAATAATTATTTGGGGAGGAATATGGTGGCAAAATACCTGAATCGCCGTTATATATATTTTTTTATATTTTGCGTTAGCTCAGTTTTTAAATAGATGGGTGAGTATTTTGTTGTAACATCGGAATTCTGAATAACTTTCAATGAAATAATTTTAAAAATAAAAATGGCCCACGAAAACGAGCGTATAAACCAAAAACTGTGCTATTTTGAATTATCATCGGTAACCTTGAATATTTAAATGTGCAGAGAAAAATTATCAGTTACATTAATATAGTTTGGTCCGTCCAAAGCAATCTACATTTACCTAATCGGGAATGTCCTTATTAAAATATTCTACATCTCACAACAAATACTTTAGCTATTTGACCAACGATGTTTAAAAAATATTTACAGAATCAATCTAACGTCAACTTTTCTTTATTGAATGGAGACAGACCGGCGGAATCAATTTTCAATGTGCTTTATATCTTGTACCTTTGCAAGACTTATCATTCATTCATAAACCATGTCTATACCGCAGACATATATATATACATATAATTATATGTCTGTCTTAACTGACAAGAATACTCCTGGTTTTACACTAGTAATTTGTTGGGGCCCTTTATAGCTTGCTGTTCGGTGTGAGCCAAGGCTCCGTGTTGAAGACCGTACTTTGACCAATAATGGTTTACTTTTATAAATTATGACTTGGATGGAGAGTTGTCTCATTTGCACTCATACAACATCTTCTTATATCTATAAGCAGTATATTCTTTAAATTTCTGTGATTTAATACCAAGAAAGAAAAATATCCCGAAATTAATTTGATACTTTGATATTCAATATTTTTCCTCGAAAATATTCACATCCTCATTCGGTCTGAAAATAAGATAAGAAACTGGTATACAGAACATGCAGAAGTGTGAATGTCATAAAACCTTGTTATATCAGAAACCATTATAAATGTGAACCTGTATACGTAAGACCTCATGGGACGATGTACCTTACCACATACAGGAAATATACAAGTAGCTCTTATACCCGAAAATGTCAAGGTTAATCTGACACTACCGATACAGAATGTACCAATGCAAAGTAAATTCTGATGATTGTGAAGCATGACCATTCATGATTTTAGTGGAGTCTTAGGTGGGGGATTGCCGGAACGATTTAAATTTTTTTCCTCAATTTAAATCACTGAACTAAAAAAAAAGAAAGAAGAAAACTACGTCCAAGAACAGAATTCTTCTTGTAAATTCATAAATACAATGTTCTTATTTTGTAACTTTCGATAGACTTGACCTCCAACCCCCCCCCCCCCCCCCCCCCCCCCATGCATGTATTTTAATATTATAATGACAATTGTACGTGAAATCCTATTATAGTTGGTGAGACTTTTTTTTACCAGATATGCGACTTTTCGTATTTATATTTTCTCTTATATTACTCTTATTTAATATTTTATGCATAAGTGCAGTATTGGGAATGGTTTATTCCCCCACAAGCTAACGTAATAAATTAATCAACCCTCAAGCTGATCAGACGTTAATACAACTACTATCAGTCTATCCGGAGTGAAGTTTCTTTATTTCTTCAAATAAACTTTTTGGGGATCATTAGTGTACGTCCAGTGGCATATATATTACATGCATGTCGGAACAGGAAAATTGGCATAAGGTTCTATTAGAACCATGTTCACATTAATATACATTATACCCAACAATTGAGATGATGACGAATTTCTTCAACTGTTCGAGAACAATCTAATTGAAATATAAATCTGTGATTTTACTGTGTCCATAACTTCGATGAACCAAAGCAAGTTAGATATCGACCTGTATTTAAATCAAATCGGTTCTGGATGTTCTTTCTTATATTCAATATACAATTTTAAATTGCGACTATCTAAAGTTCCGTAACTTTCTATCTAGGCGTATAAACCAATGATCGACAAGTGCGTACATTTTTGTTAAATCAATAGTCTTTCATGTTTCAAAATGTCCATCATTATTGACAACGAGTATATACTTACATTTTCCCCAATTTACCCTTGGAAAAAATATGTGTAAATAGATTTTTATTTTATCAAATCTTTTTTGGGAATTATTTAGATTTTCATAAATATCATTCTTTACACCAGAAATGTTATTTATAAACAAGCGTATGAGTTTAGTAATGACTAGTATATCACTATCGGACACGCAAGACAGAGATATTAACACCTGATAGTTTCAAAATGGAAAGTTACAAGTTATCGGCTGTGTACACTGATCAATACCCTCAGAAGTGAAGCGATGCATGAACATGCTTTATGTAATTGTGTAATAAGAGTTTTTAATCCCGACAGGAAATCGCTTGAATACCTGGACGTGTCACCTCACAATACCCCAGGGAATAATTCCTTTAGCCATGCTGGTGATCAGATAAGAGAAGGTCCGAATTTATTTAAATAAGTTTATTACATAAAAGAATTATGAACAAATTAGATTTTCGAAAACGATTTTACACGGAACACTTATATTTATGACATTGAACTTTGACTTTTTAACTAATTCCCATATAAATTTCTTGTTTCAAAAAACTTCGTAAAGAAAAAAACAGTTTAAAAACGACAGACCATAGTTATTTAAAAAAAATAATTACACATTTTCCGTATCAAGTTAGTTAGTCGGATAAATGCGACTACGTTAGGTTACTGCTGGTTTTGGTCCTTTGTGGTTTATAGATATATCGTGGTTTCTAAACCGAGAAGATGTCAAAATGGCCGCACGCAGAGAATTGATACTCCAAATTTAAAATCGATGGTGATCTCTTATCTAGCAGAATAAAACTTTAATATTTATGAATTTGTGCTTTTTTATACAGAATGGACATAATATCAATTTTTTATTTTTTTGCGAAGTTTCACTTTAATATAAAAATAATTGGACATATCTGTATGTTTTGATGGTTTTATTTCCTATGTGTTACATATTCAAATCATCCAGCGAAGTCTTTATTTAACCCATATTGCGGATTCTTCTACCATACAAATCATGCTACGAAAACTAGTGCATAAATGCCATCAAAATGTTGTTCCTTTGACATTTTATAAACTTCATGCTAAACAGAGGGATTCATTTTTCATTTTTATTCTGTAACATTTGTATCAATCTGAGCATACATGTAATATCCTTGTGTTGCCACTGTGGCATCATATAAGATTTCTCACTATAATGTTGTCAAGCAGAGCTCTGGGTCCTTTTTTCTTTTTACAAAGGGAACTGAAGAGTATAATACTAGTCAAAAACTTAACTGGAAGGGGGTGTTAATAATAAATGGGAAGAAAAAAACTACCAAACTGAATCCATATTACCAGAATCAAAAATCCTTTTGAGATTATTTTTGCGCTAAATGTAATGACAAATCTATTAATTTGAAAAGACATTCAGGGCAAGTAAAATTAGCTCCTTTAGACATTAATAGTTGAGTTCTCTTTAACCAATTCCTCTTGATATGTAACTTTTAACTAGAAGTTGACATGAATTTTGATTTATTAATTATAATACGTATATAAATATACACACAAAATTAACACCCTGCTTTTACTTTTGTTAAGGATATTATAAGTTTTTTTTTAATTTCAATGGTTAGACTGCAAAGTTTATTTAATCATTAATAAAAACAAGCATTCTGAGAGTATTGCATGGCAATACATAGTCCCCTACCGGGTAAAAATTCATTTTACTGGAACAAAATGCTAACTTGTTCTATAACTTGTCATGGTGTAAACAAAAAGTAAATATCATGTCAATATCTTCAAGCATGACTAAAAACAGTGTGGAAAACTGATTATATGAGTGAAAAAAACATTAGATATGATTAATAGTTCTCTAAAATTAGATATGATGTAATACAGTGTATATCTATTTTCAAATTATAATCAAATATAATTAATAGTTCCAAATATTTTTTCTTTCATTTGTTACAAACTAATATAGATTTTTAACTTATCTATAAAATGTCAACAACTTTTATCTACACAATGTAATGTATTGAAATATATATATTAATAAAAATAGATTATTATCATAATTTTTTTTTTATATCTATAGCAATCAGAAAATAAGTTTATACTAAATAACAAACAAACCTGACAAAAATTCTTCATAAAATTTAACAAAGAATGCCTTTTAAAAAATGAGTTATCTCCCTTTGTACAGAAATATGGTTTAACATAGTACTCTAACATTAGATATGGTCCAGAGTTATGGTCCATAACTCTGGACTAAATCATCAGACCGGAACAAAATTCGAACTTGATCTATAACTTGTCATGATAAAACTATATACCAAATATCAAATCAATATCTTCAAGAACGAAGAGAAAAAATGTGGAAAGCTGATTTGCCGGACTGACGGATGGACAGACTGACAGATGGACAGACAGACAGACGAACGGAGTGCAAACCTAAAGTCCCCTTCGACTTCGTCGGTAGGGGACTAATAACGAGGAGAAATTTTGCTTGCAACATAGATGATATTACCTCTCCAGTATTTATTATTTTTCAAACCTCTCCGTGATTTGACTGTATCAATCGAATATGCAATTATAAACACAAAAGTTAATCCTAGACAACCCCAAAATATTACAGGGTTTCCTAACAGGTAAATTCTGTGATCTTTTCCTGAAAACATCTGTCCCTAGAAAAGAACAAAATGTTTGACAATTATTATAACACATGAGTGAACACTAAAATTACATTGTAATGATCAAGTTCATACAAAATTATGTCAGCACTTTAAGATATCTTAACATATATCCTTTATATACAATCGAGTGGGCTTCAGTAGCCGATTGGTCTAAGTAGTTCATCTGTATGCCTAGCCTGTCAACACTAGGGTTGTGAGTTCAAAACCACAGGTGGCAAGTACCTTAATCTTAATTGACTACAATTACCAGTTTTCCTGCAGAAGGTCAGTCAGTGGTTTTCTCCCGGGATTCCAGCTTCCTGTACCAAAAAAAAAACTGGATGCCACGAAATAGTCAATAGTGCCGATAGTGGCATAAACTCCAACTAGAGGCTCTCAAGAGTCTGTGTCGCTCACCTGATTCTACTTTGGTTTTGTAAATCATGTAAAAATAGATTAAAATCATAACAGATACCCTAATAATGATTGAGGCCAAATTTGGTATAATATTGGCCCCATAATTTAATCAAAAGCAGAAGACTTTTGTAAAGTTTACAGAAATTACCAATAAATTCATTGAAATTGTAGAAAATGATTTTATAAGGACAATTACAAATCAGCTACAAAGTAACAACACTTGGTCAGCACCTCAAAAGAAACATTCATACCATGTTTGGTTTCAATCCATTAAGCAGTTTTCTAGAAGAAGACATTTGTATATTTTTCCCATAGGGTCCTTTGTTTAACTGAGTCCCCTATTGGGAGCCATCTTGGTTGATGGATTTGCTACAAAGTAACAACACTTGGTCAGCACCTCATAAGGAACATTCATGCCATGTTTGGTTTCATTCCATTCAGTGATTCTCTAAAAGGAAACATTTGTATGTATTTCCCTTAGGGTCCTATGTTAAACTAAGTCCCCGCTTGCAGCCATCTTGGATGATTGATCGCCTACAAAGTTACAACACTTGGTCAACAGCTCATAAGGAACATTCATGCCATGTTTTATTTCATTCCATTCAGTGGTTCTCTAAAAGGAGACATTTGTATGTATTTCCCATATAGGCTCCTATGTTATACTATGTCCCCCGCTGGTGGCCATCTTGGATGATGGATCGGCTTCAAAGTAACAACACTTGGTCAGCACCTCATAAGGAACATTCATGCCATGTTTGGTTTCATTCCATTCTGTGGTTCTCTAAAAGAAGACATTTGTATGTATTGTCCATAGGGTCCTATGTTAAACGAAGTCCCCCGCTGGTGGCCATCTTGGATGATGGATCGGGTACAAAGTAACAACACTTGGTCAGCACCTCATAAGGAACATTCATGCCATGTTTGGTTTCATTCCATTCAGTGGTTCTCTAGAAGAAGTTCAAAATGTTAAAAAATAAAGACGACGACAGACAACAATGGACGCCAAGTTATGAGAAAAGCTCACTTGGCCCTTTGGGCCAGGTGAGCTAAAAATCAATCAATCAGCTTTAACATACCTGACTGCAAAGGGATCAGGCAATTAAATAATAGTCAATAGAAATAAGATTTCTTTCGAAAAAATTGAAAAAAAACCCCAATAGTTCCCAGAGGTCTCAGATATTAAGTCTTCAAGTATATATACCGTAAATTAAGAAATTATTGCCAGGTTTTTATTATTGCAAAAATAATGGGACTGGGTGAGTAATGCAATAATAAGAACTCGCATTCTGATATCTTATACAGATATCTATATGCAGATTTTCCTGAAATTGCTATAATTAATCTTGAATTTATGTCCATTCTTCAAAAATCACAATAATAAATGTATGCAATAATTTCTGAATTTACATTACTAGCATAACTTACTCTGTAATTTATAGGCCACTGCCATGGTCTAGAAGTTATCTCCCCTTCCTTTGGTTTCAGTCCACTGTTACCCTTAGAAATGAAAGTACTGAATATCACATACAAATATAAAAAAATAAATGTCTCTTAATTTGCCACAATTAACAGCATCAACACTATATTCAGATAAATTTTACCCTTATATACCTTTCTAGATTAATGCAATAGGTGACCGTAACATTTAGTTAGCCACTTTTCCTGCTTACTGAACTAAATGGACATTTGAATTACCGTATATAAGTTACAGAATGAGATAAATAAATCATAGGTTAAAAATGATTTGGATAAAATGCGTCTTTAAGATAACAAGCATTTTGAGGGTATTGCATATACAATACAATGTCCCCTTCCGGGTGTTATGTTAAAATTGGATGTGTTTTGCATGACCAGTGTAAAGCCTAATTTCCAGCTTATTATCATTCAAGTTGGAATGATTTTTTTAAGATGTGGATATTGCCAACAACTATGGGTCCAACCCAATCCATCAAGCATTTATTTATTAGCAATTTACTATGTTCTAGGACCACTTCAGCAAAACGCATTGTAAACTTAAACTTGATGGTTGCATGTTATAATATGAATGATAATAAACTGCTTTGCTTAGCGCAGCTGGATACGCCCGCAGAGGTCCAACCCTGAACAGTTGGGGCAAAATAGGACACAATATTCAAGCTTGATACAGGTCTGAATTTGGATTGTAATTAAATATTTGACATATTATAGGTTTCTGAATAATTGTAGTCAAAGAACTTGAAATTGGTCATATGAATTGAATTCATATTCAATTAAAGATTTCTTGCTGTTGTGCAATACACTGTGCTGTTGCGCAATACTTAGTAAATCTGTACTCAGACTATAAACAAATAAAGTTCAATTAATTCTCAATGTCATATAAGAAATTTATGAAAATCAAAAGGGAGCTTACATCAATAGATATAAACAATTCACCAAAGTTTCATGAGAATTGTTGACAAGATTTTTGAGTTATTGTCCGAAAACTGGAAAATCCCCCCTTTTTTAATGAATAAAACCCCATAACTCAGAAATGTGAAATGTAAAATTTATTAAATTCTAAAGGGAGCTCATGTCAATAAATAAAAACAATTCACCACAATTTCTTGCAAATTGGTGAAAGCATTCTTGAGTTATTATCCGAAAACTGGAAAATTCCCCTTTTTTTAATGAATAAAACCCCATAACTCGGAAACGTAAAATCTAAAATTTATAAAAAACGAAAGGGAGCTCATGTCAACAGATGTAAACAATTCAGCAAAGTTTTATGCAAATTGGTTAAAGCATTTTTGAGTTAAAAGTCCGACATGTTGACGACGGACGGACAGACGGACAACGGTATACCATAATACGTCCCGTAAACGGGCATATAAAAAAAAACCCTGATACCAAGTTTCAGAAAGCTATGTAGTTCTCAAGAATAAAACTGAGATTTCATGGGACAAGCGAAACAAGGACAGACAGACAGGGGTAAACAAATGTGTCAAAAACTGATATTTTCAAGCAATTTGCAATGTTAAATGGCTACAACTTCCACAAAAATCATTCAAATATAACAAAACTCCAACTAAGTCTGTAACACCTTTAGGCAGGACTATATACAAAATATCTAATTCATTGATTCAAGCATAACAGGAAAAGTGCAAAACACTGAGATTCTCTACTACTTTATTATTTCCACAGGTCACAACTTTGGCAAAAATTGCTCAGGAATGGACCTCAAACTTGATCTGTAACTTCTTCTAATGTGATTTTATACCAAATTTCAACCAATATTTAGAAGCCTTACAGAGAAAGTGCTGAAAACACACTTGACAAACATACTTGCCACTTTGACTATACTGGTAAAAAAACACCTGCACTGAAAACAATGCCTAGCACAAGAATGCCCTTCAAATACCAATCATTTGCACAATATTGTAGCCCATATATTGAATGTGCTGTTTTCTAAAATATAGCATGTATACCTTTATAGGAATGTTATACCTACTAAATGTTTTAGAATTCATGATTTTCTTACTAATGTTTTGTTAGTACAGAGTGTACTTGGTAATATAGGGAAAGTGTTACCTGTGAAAAGCCAAAGTCTGTAAAACTAGTTTATTGTTATTATTCTTTTTGGTAATCAGAAAAAACAAATGGGTCAATCATGTGTGCAAACCATTTGTTTCTGAATAATGAATTGAAAAGATTTCAAAATGTGACTCTGAAACATAAAATTATCTCCCTTTTATATACATAGCACTGTGCTGATACAACAACACTAGTATGTTGACCTGGTCTTCTATTAATATATTTATTAATTTGATTTTTTTTTATTTTACATGAAAATATCTACTTTTGAAATTTAAAAGAAAAATAATCAAAATCTGTGTGCATTATTAGGTAAAACTATGTCTTCTTTACATCCTTGGTAAATAAACATTTTGTACATACTTGTGTCATGACTGCATGACTTTCAATGAACCTTTCCAAGAAGCTTGGGGAATATAACTCAAAACTGGCATTAGGTACTGAAAAATAAATAACAGTTTTTGTTAGGTAGTCAAACTTTTTGGGACCACAACATGTTGAGATGAGAATGTTGAAAAAGTTCAATTAAAAAGAAACAAGTAAAACTGTGAGCTACTGCTCACTAATGATACCCCCGCCGAAATATTTCGGTAAACATGAAGTTGTTGAGTGATGAATCTGAAAACGCATCACACTGTAAAGCTGACTTATATAAACCCTGAAACCAAATTTCAGAAATCCTTGTCAAGTAGTTCCTGAGAAAAATGTGACGAAAATTTTCTACTTGGCTATCATGTGTAAAATAATACAAGTGTTTGGTAAACAGGAAGTTGTTGAGTGATGAATCTGAAAACGCATCACAAGGTGTAACTTACTTATATAAACCTTGAAACCAAATTTCAGAAATCCTTGTCAAGTACTTCCTGAGAAAAATGTGACGAAAATTTTCAACTTGGCTATCATGTGTAAAATAATACAAGGGTTCGGTAAACAGGAAGTTGTTGAGTGATGAATCTGAAAACGCATCACACTGTGTAACTTACTTATATAAACCCTGAAACCAAATTTAAGAAATTCTTGTCAAGTAGTTCCTGAGAAAAATATGACGAAAATTTTCAACTTGGTTATCATGTGTAAAATAATACAAGTGTTCGGTAAACAGGAAGTTGTTGAGTGATGAATCTGAAAACGCATCACACGGTGTAACTTGCTTATATTAACCCTGAAACCAAATTTCAGAAATCCTTGTCAAGTAGTTCCTGAGAAAAATGCGACGAAAATATTCATGGGACGGATGGACTGACGGAAGGACAGACAGAGGTAAAACAGTATACACCCACTTTTTTAAAGCGGGGGTATAATAAAGCGGGGGTATAAAAAGAAAAGTATATTGTATAGAGCTTGGCACCATAAGGTGGACACTATTAGATCTATCACAAATCTGATAGAAAAATGCAAGCATAGGTATTAAATGATAAGGAAAGAAATGTAGTTGTTGTAAACACACCCTCAACTATTACTTATTTCATCTTCTTTTATATTAATAAAAAAAATTTTGTTTCCTATATTTTAAAATGCAGAAGTAGAATAATACTGTAGAGATTAAACTGTGTGTACTTGTATATCTTACATCTTTGATCTGTTACTTCTTCAACACTCCATAAAGTCTTTTTATCTTTTATATTAGGGTTACATGTAACTTCTAGCTGCTCCCAACCCCTATAAAATTGAACATTATAAAATTTCATAGTTTTACACATCTGCAATAAATTTCAGAGAGATCTTTGATTTCCATCAATTAATTCAAACGATCAAAGAATTTCATTCCAATATTTACCATACAATCTGTATAGTCTAGGATAACAGTACACAATTTATATCCTGATCTTAATCAACTCTAAGGATTCCTTGAATTGATGGCTGTTAATACAGAATTTAATTTTATGATTGTGAGTCTGCAACAAAACTATACCTGAAAAAAATAAATGCTATTTATGTACATCTTTGTGGTCAATGTAACAAGCAAAAATATAAAGTGATATTTGATTTCATTAAAAAGATAAACAAAAAATTCCCATTTTCACAATAATATAAAGGAAACTATAAGAACATAATCTAAATGGAAGAAGATCCCAGAGACCTTCATTTTCTAAAAAGTATCAATGTCAAAGCAGATGGACTAAGCTATATTGAGGCAACATGAAATTGATAGATTGAGGGAGACAGCAATAAAAAGGAACACAAAGGAAGAAAATAGTAGGCATTACTATCAGAATATTTATACATGGTTGGTGTGGTCTGTTCTACTGTCTAATATTTTTGGTGATTGATGTTAACTTGATTGTGTATTTTAATATGACGTTCTTCAAACACTTTGAGTACACACCCATGGTAAAACATAATTGGCAACTTCATGATTTATTTGGGCTGTTCAGGCGATCATACTCCCACGTCATATGCTTCTTTATGAATGAGCTACCCAATGTCAATCGGTGTAAATGACATCATTGAACGATGACTTAAGAATATAAGCATTTTACGGGAAAATGCACGGTTGTGAAACTGAAAGTCATCAAAACAAGGAAACATAAACAAATTATTATAAAATTTGTTAAAAGCCAATTTTTTTAAATACAAGTAAGATTATCATTTAAATTAATCCAAACCTATCTAACTACATTATTGTAGACAGTTTAAGCATGTCACTCATTCAGTTTTCTCCGTTTTTTTACGTCAATATTAATAGTGTGTTTAATTACTGGAACAGCAAATGTTTGCCTTTGTCTAGAGCATCTAAAATATATGTATAATTAAGAAATAATTCATGGGGGCTTGAATTTATACTGATTTTACCATGGGTTTGCCCTTTATGCTGATATTTTACCCCTCGCTATCGATCGAGGTAAAATCAGTATAAATTCAAGCCCCCATGAATTATTTCTTAATTATACATATATTTTATATCTTTAAAATTTAAAAACTGCTTAAAAGTATGCCAATCCATAACTGATCAGTTCACTGTATTTATAATTAAAGTAGTTAAAACATGAACTTTTCTTGTATATAATTTCTAGTACCCAGACCCTATAACACATCAGACCATTTCCTGGATATCAGAACAATAAATTACAATTGAACATACCATTTTGGCAGTTTTTTATCATGTGACTGTAGAGCACACCTTACATGGTAGTGTATCAGTCTGACATGTGACCTGACTGTTTGTACAACAGCCCCTGTAGACCCTCCCACCACTTCAAGGATCCATACATCATTAGCATCACCTGAACCATTCTGTAAGCATACAATTTCTCTGTTATGATCTCAGTAAAACAATAAAATTAAATCAATCTACTGTGGATTCGTTATTATTCGTTGGATACCAATTTTCGTTGATTTCGTAGAACCACGAATTTAAATGTTCAACGAAGTACAAATTTTCTATAGGCTTGTATGCGGACTTTGGAAAAAGCATGAAATTTAATATCCACGAAAAAGTAAAGTTTTCCTCAATCCACGAAAATTGGTACCCACGAAAATAAATGAATGCACAGTAATTAAGCATTACACTGCTAATTAAGTCTTGTATATATTCATAAAGAAAGTCCTTAACGTCATATTGAAGTAATCAAAAGTGCCAAACAATTTGTTTGACATGCTGATAGATGTAAAAGTGATGCATCAAAGTAAAATATGCAAAACAACAGGGTAACTGTGTTTAATTCCATTAAAGAAGGGATTGCATTAGACCTTTTCACTTGTCACTTATAGTGGATCTATAGTACTTTTTAAAGGCACAGATTCAAATTAACATTACAAAAAGCCTTATACATGTGTCCTACAGTTTATTTTGAAACTTATATGCTATAGCAATGTATCTAAGATTTCAGGAAACAGAAATATTATTGTAAGTACCCAGTATCTATTCTTGCTATTTTCACTAACGATCCCTGTATGTTAATTTGTATGTTTCATTTCAATTGAAAAATGCACAATGTATCATTGAAGTATACAGGATTTCTTATCCTAATATTATTAACATTTCACTTCTCATTATGATTGAGTAAAGTTACACACCACTCCATAACCAGCTACTTGATAATGTCTCTTTGTTAAAGGTGCTGGTTCTCGGTGAGAATGTAACAGTCGCTGCGTTCTGTAATAGTATCAAATACATGTAGTTTAGTTTTCTTAATATGAACTTTCATAAGAATTTAATTATATTTTTTAACACAATGCTATACAAAAAATCGTTAAAAAAAAAAATCATTTATATAAATGATTGTAATCATTAGTTTTTGTGTAATTTTTGCTAGTTTCTCAAACATTCATTGACAATTAGAATCACAAATATCTATATTTATATTTATTAATGTTATTTGACTACACGAATAGCACAGTTGCAATTTATACATAAGTCCTAGAGTAGAACAAAAAGGAAAGTCTGACATTTTAACTGTTGCATTTGAAATAACATGGTGGTACACTCAGTCCCTTCAGATTACAAAGCAAATTCCTTAACACTGCATGTCGACTTTTACCAAATAAATACCAATTAAATTAGATTTGGTAGTACAGAGGGGATTAAACATACATTAGTGAAGCATTCATTGTCAGAGAATTAACAGGAATATGTGGACATCATGTCCAGCTCTCATTATCACATTGCTATGTTCAGTGATCCATGAAATAGATGTCCAGACCAAAATAAGACATATAATTTAAAAGGTTCATAATGAACATGTGTACTAAGTTTAAGGTTGATATGACCACAGATTCATGAGAAACTATCTTAACCCAAAACTTTAACCTGAGATTGTACTGATTTTACAACATAACATTTCCACTTTCAGTGAACTGTAATTTTGGGGTCATAATCGTTATTTGCCATATAATTTTAAAAGTTCATATCATAATGAATATATTTACAAAATTTCAAGTTGATGTGACCTTCTATTGTAGGCAATACATGAAAATGAAAATTGTAAAATAACAAATTCACAACAAATCTTACACTATATGTTCTAATCTAACAAGATCTCCACTCTTGACTAGAGCTGGAGAGTCTGTTTTTGTCCACTGTGTATCTGCTGGTTTTATTATCCACTTGTTGTTTTCATCTTTGTGAGCATATGTTGTAACCTACAGTGGAGATGGGTCCGTACTCATTCTAACAAATACTTTTAACTAATCATTATCATTATTTACATTTTTCTTGAATGAGTAACAGAAATGAAACTGTCTAATATTAACAATCTTAGTACCGCTTCCTGGGCATCTAATCAGCTTTATTAGTTACTGAATTTTCTCCAAATGATGGAAAATAATTTTACAATGCAAAAAAAATGCTGACAATGCACAGCTTTCTCCAATCAATTTATAATGAAACTAAGAAAAAAAAAATAACCAGACAAAGGCTTTATTTTTCAGCCAATTTATTCTTAGAACCATTATTAATCATAATTCCCAAAAGGACAATAAATGTACTATTTCCAAATTACTGTATTTCATATTGGAGTTATAAGTAAAGTTTGCATATTGAAATGTATAAAATAGTTATGTTCTAAAGGTAAACTAAAAAAAAATATTCAAAGTTTTTAATTTGTAACTTAAACTAAAAACTTAATTTGCATATTCAATCTTAAAAGTACACTTCAAATTTTAATTTTACATTTTATGAAAGCCTTTAAACATATTTGTGTAATGTTGAAAAAAACAATGCTGTGGTGAAAATTATAACATAGCTGTAAAATGTTAAACCTCTGTGGCGTGGTACTACTTACATTCTTCTTTAATTCAGGGGATCATGTTTAATGGTTTCTTGAGAAAAAAACAAGTGAAACTGCGAGCTACTGCTCACTGATGATACCCCCGCTCAAATATTTCGGTAAACAGGAAGTTGTTGAGTGATGAATCTGAAAACGCATCACACGGTATAGCTGACTCATATAAACCCTGAAACCAAATTTCAGAAATCCTAATGATGTAGTTCCTGAGAAAAATGCGACTAAAATATTCATGGGACGGACAGACAGAAGTAAAACAGTATACCCCCACTTTTTTAAAGCGGGGGTATAATAAAAAATAAAATAACAAGCTTGATAATAATTGCCTATTGACATTGTTGTTCTTTGATCATGTAATGGATTGTGATGATTGTATTTCTAATTTAGTACCACTGGAAAATAATACCATATCTCAAGTTAATTGCTGACCTGTTGTTGTTGTGGAGGATGTTCTTCAGGATAGAGGTGCCAATGTGAATGTAAATAGGCTCCTCCTGTTCTCCTCTGCTTCAGTGTAAACTCACTTCCATAGGCAATATCTAAAAGATTTTGTCATGGACAAATGATTTTTGTCATTTCTTTACAATGTAGTTAAATAAAATGATGTGTTTTGTCTCCAATTTTTAATGAGTCAGAAAATATAATCTTTAGAAATTTGTCTTGAGAAATAAATGTTAATGAGATGTTCCCCATAGAAGACTTATGAAACAATTTTTTTCTCTCTTCTCAATAAATGAAACATATCTGAGTCGCAATGTATCTATGATACCTACTATATGTTACTCAGCATAAACAATATTGTTGGCAATAGTTATAACAATACAAAATGTTGTTATATTTCTTACTTTCAGGCATGCTGACATTCTATATATAATCTGTTATATTTCTTACTTTCAGGCATGCTGACATTATATAATCTGTTACCCATCAACTGTGACTGAAATCCTGAACTGTAAAAACCATCACCAGAACCACTGTAAGAAGTTAAAAAAATGTTTTTATACTCTTGAAAATTTCGACATTTCAGAGATTTTCTTTTATATTGTGCATTTTATCCTTCTGTAATGTTTTTCGCTTATATACCTAGATGTCTTTTGATTTGATTTTATCATTGATATGCTGATTAATTGATATACACCCCACATCTCCTTTTATTCATATACACATATATTATTTCTGACTTTTAAGCAAAGTAACTGTCAGAGAGTTAGCTTTACAAAAAAAATATGTCAAATGTCAAATAAGTCAAATGACAACTTCATCTACAAAATGAAAAATAGAATATGTGGGTATACAAGAGACAGCAACCCAAAGGCAAAAGTAACTAGACGATATCTAGATGGCATTATACAGTCTTAAACAATAGACAGGTGCCTGTATAATATGTCAAGCTGTAAATTGTCATGTGTCTACAAAGTTGTGAATAAACTTCTTCTTCTTCCAATTACAGTTCAGTCCACCATCTGGCGTATTATCGCAAGTTGCAGACAAAATCAATATTTACAGTGCAGTTAAAAACCAGTGTGTACAATTAAAATTGTGTAAATTTCTTAACAGGAGCAATACAAAATCTTCCATTTAGACCAAATTCTCCTTAAAATGAAATACAGATACAAAGACACTTCAAACAGAATGAGAAACAAATACCCTTGATCATTCATGCATACTATTTAAGCAAATGGTCCCAATCCAAGCACTTTAACATATCTTTAGATTATGAAAATAAGGGTGATGTCTGGTTATAATAATGCGCTGATAAGTACAATAAAATGCTTTGCTGAGCGCAGCCTGATACGACCGCAGAGGTCAAACCCTGAACAGTTGGGTCAAATTTGGACACAATATTCAAGCTTGATACTGTCTGAATTTGGATTGTAATCAAATTTTTGACATAATATAGGTTTCTGACACAAAATAAATGTGGTCAAAGATCTTATAAATCCATTGGGCAATACTGTGCAACTGAAGATTTCTTCTTGAAACTTTTAAAAAATTTTCAAATTTTAAAAATTTTGAAAAAAAAATATGAATCCCTTAAAAAAAATTGGGAAAAAAATTCCCCCCCCCCCAACTTATTGAAACCCCCCGTGGAGCAATAACCCCAAAACTCAATCCCAGCCTTTCCTTTGAAGTATGGAACCTTGTAGTACAATTTCAGAGAGATCCATACACTTACACACAAGTTATTGTCTGGAAACTAGAAAAATGCTTGTTTTTGGCCCTTTTTTGGCCCCTAATTCCTACATGTTTGGGGCAATTAACCCCAAACTCAATCCCAGTCTTCCCTTTGTTATATGGAACCTTGTGGTACAATGTCAGAGAGATCCATACACTTACACACAAGTTATTGTCTGGAAACTAGAAAAATGCTTGTTTTTGGCCCTTAATTCCTAATCTGTTGGCCCCATAACCCCTAAAATGAATCCCAACCTTCTACTTGTGGTATTAAACATTGTGGTACAATTTCAGAGCAATCGAAATACTTATACACAAGTTTTTTTCCTGAAACTAGAAAAATGCTTGTTTTAGGCCCCTTTTTGGGCCCCTAATTCCTAAACGGTTGGGACCATCATCCCCAAAATCAACCCCAACCTTCCTTTTGTGGTATTGAACCTTCTTAAAAAAATTCATAAAGATCCATTCACTTAAACTAAAGTTATTGTCCGGAAACCAATATGTCTTCGGACGACGACGCAGACTACGACGATGCAGACGCAATCATACCATTATACAATCCCAAAAATTTTTTTACGGTGGTATAAAAAGGTGAAGGTTAAATGTCTTTATTTGCTATATATGTGTTTCTTTCATGTACAGTTACTTAGAAACCAACCAATTTTTAAAAGTTTTATTTTACTCTGGATAAAGAATTCATACTCTTTCTTAGGAGCTAAGGTGCGAATTGTTACAACACAATTCATATGTATTACATAAAACCACCGAAATACAGGAAAAATGTCCAAGAATGAAACAGAGGACAAACAAGTGAAACTGCGAGCTACTGCTCATTGATGATACCCCCGCCCAAATATTTCGGTAAACCGGAAGTTGTTAAGTGATGAATCTGAAAACGCACCACACGGTAGAGCCGACTTATATAAACCCTGAAACCAAATTTCAGAAATCCTATTATTGTAGATCATGAGAAAAATGTGCCGAACATTTTCAACTTAACTATCATGTGTAAAATGATACAAGTGTTTGGTAAACAGGAAGTTGTTGAGTGATGAATCTGAAAACGCATCACACGGTATAGCCGACTTATATAAACCTTGAAACCAAATTTCAGAAAGCCTTGTATTGTAGTTCCTGAGAAAAATGTGACGAAAAATTTTCATGGGATGGATGGAAGGACTGACAGACTGACGGATGGACAGATGGATGGACAGACAGATGTAAAACAGTATACCCCCACTTTTTTAAAGGCGGGGGTATAACTAACCTAATTCTAATATCTGGAAACAAATTTGAAAATCAAGGATGAATGAGTATACAAGGATTTTAACTAATTAGTTAAATAGATGGCTATTACTTAATACAATGACCAGATGTGTAGGTTTGGTATAAACAGCAACATGGTTGATGGATGTTTTATCAGAGAATATAATTAACATCCAATTACAAATGTATTACAAAATGTTATTGAAAACTGGTTAGGAGCGACTTATAGATTGACTTTTTATACAAATAGAATGTTTCTTAAATGATGTAGGTATTTAAACCATGTTCAATCAAATCATTTTTTATGTGTTAATAGACATGTACATTTACCTGTGATTCAATATTTTAAGATGAACTGCAAACACCATCATATAAACAATAGCTGGTAAAATGATCAGACAAAGTACTCTGGCTAGGAAATGTTTCACAATTAACACCTGTAAAAAAACATATGGTCATGGGCCATTAATTTTTTCACATATTTTTCACTTTAAAATGAAAATAAATATCTACTAAATAATTACATTAAAACATAAACAATAACTTTAAAAATAAGTTTAATACTTTATAAATACTACATTAAATTTGTATAACATGAACAGTAAGAAATTTTGCGTTAATAATCAAAAAACAGTTATAAACTGTCATATCTACAGTTAACTGTTATAGACGTATTTACACTTGTATGCAAATTTGTCCGCCAATACTTAAAATCACACAAGTTCCCGTAAAATTTGAAAAAGTTGAAAAAAATATTGGATCTTCCCTGCACCTGTATCACTCTACTCGGCTCTTCATAAAACCCCATATCTTGACTGAGTGATGTTATATTTGTTTGACCTGGCTTTAATAACTCTGACCCAGACTCATCACTGATTTCATAATGGTTAACTTAACACTGATAATAAAATGCTTCGTGAGCGCAGCCTGATACGACCGCAGAGGTCAAACCCTGAATAGTTGCGACAAGTTTGGACACAATATTCAAGCTTGATACCGTCTGAATTTGGATTGTGATCAAATTTTTGACATAATATAGGTTTCTGACACAAAATAAATGTGGTCAAAGATCTTAAAAATTTGAAATGGGACATTTAATTTACCTAGTATGGTCTGATATCCAAAATCTAACAACATGGTTAGATTCAGAAAATAAAAAAACACCAAAAATTTAATTTTAGCTGAAATCAAACAAAGTTTAATTTTGGAGCCTTCAAACCTTAATATGGACTAATTTGAAAAGAGGGCCCAAAATAAAAAATCTAAATGCACAATAAGATTCAGCATATCATAGAGCCACAATAATTCAGTTTTTGATGAAATCAAACAAAGTTTAACTTTGGACCCTTTGGACCTCAATGTAGACCAATTTAAAAATGGGGCCCAGTATCCAAAATAGTAATACAAGGTTAGAACCCCCAAAAATTAAAGGCTTTAAATTAATCCCATTGAAATTGGTTAAAAGATTTGTATTTATTTTCAACTGAAGATTTCTTGCTATTGCGCAATACTGTGCTACATGTATTGTGCAATACTGTGCTGTTGCACAATACTTAGTTAATCTGTTATATATAATAATTTACACACCCTGTTTGGAGTGTATCTCCTGCCATATCAGTATTTGTTGCTTTTATATATTAATCAGAAATAATCAATGTAAAAATGGAAAATTTTTTGGAAAAAAAAAAACAAACAAAAAACTATGAAAAAAATTTGAAATTTTGAAAAAAAGTATGACCCCCCCCCCAACAAAATTAATGATTTTGCCATGAAAACCACACAAATACAATCAAATAAATCTATTAATAAATTTTGCAAAATATTAGTGGCTACAAACAATAATAAACTGCTTCGCTGAGCGCAGCTGGATACGCCCGCAGAGGTCCAACCCTGAACAGTTGGGGCAAAAATGGACACAATATTCAAGCTTGATACAGGTCTGAATTTGGATTGTAATTAAATATTTGATATTTTATAGGTTTCTGAATAAATGTAGTCAAAGAACTTGAAATTGGTTGTATGAAAGATTTCTTGCTGTTGTGCAATACACATTGCTGTAGCATAATACATAGTAAATCTGTTGTCAGACTATAAACAAATAAAATCTTATAACTTGGAAACACGAAAATTTATAAAAATCAAAAGGGAGCTTACAAAAATAGATATAAACAATTTACCAAAGTTTCGTAAAAAATACTGAAAGCATTTTTGAGTTATTGTCCGAAAACTGGAAAATCCCCCTTTTTGTAATGAATAAAACCCCATAAATTGAAAACGTATAGTCTGAAATTTATAAAAATCAAAAGGGAGCTCATGTCAATAGAAATAAACAATTCACGAAAGTTTCTAGCAAATTGGTGAAATTGTTTTTGAGTTATTGTTTGAAAACTGGAAAATCCCCCCTTTTTTAATGAATAAAACCCCAAAACTCGGAAACGCTAAATCCTAAATTTATAAAAAACGAAAGAGAGCTCATGTCAATAGATATGAACAATTCACAAAAGTTTCTTGCAAATTGGTGAAATTGTTTTTGAGTTATTGTCTGAAAACTGGAAAATCCCCCCTTTTTTAATGAATAAAACCCCAAAACTCGGAAACGGTAAATCCGAAATTTATAAAAACGAAAGAGAGCTCACGTCAATAGATATGAACAATTCACAAAGGTTTCTTGCAAATTGGTGAAATATTTTTGGAGTTATTGTCTGAAAACTGGAAAATCCCCCCTTTTTTTAATGAATAAAACCCCAAAACTCGGAAGTGGTAAATCCGAAATTTATAAAAAATGAAAGGGAATTCAGGTCAATAGATATAAACAATTCACCAGTTTCATGCATATTGGTTAAAGCGTTTTTGAATTAATGTCCAACATGTTGACGACGGACAGACGGACAGACAGACGGTCAACGGTATACCATAATACGTCCTGTAAACGGGCATATAAAAAGTCTTTGCACTCATTTACCAAATTACCTTTGTTTTGCGACTCTTAACTGAAATTCAATAACAATATGTAGAAAACTTGTTTATTGGTTCATATTATTATCTTATTTTTTTATCAAGTTAAGATGTGTCTCACTAATTTTCATCTTACATATAAAAGAAATACTTTACCATATTTAAACATTTTTCTCCTACAAGGCACCATAGATCGGCTGCTGTAGAATATCCAGCAAATAATATAATAAATAAACCAACAAACTTAACACTGAAAATATACAAATTCTATGATTTTAAATAAGAATTAAAATAAACATATCTATATATTCTTGTACACAAAACATTTTTAACTAACATGAATCAGAATATTTCAGCTGTAGTCATATTTTGCTATATATCATTGTAACAATACATATTTAAACAATGGAATTTCCAACTGACCTAAATTAACAAATCCCCCAAAAAAACAATTTAATCTGTGTTTATCCTCCATAGCTAACGATTCACTTGTTTTAGCATCCCTATTATTGGTTTGATATTTTCGTATTTCTACTATATAGTTTCTAACACCGTTGATGAGAAATAAATTTTCTGAATACATATATGGTACATTAAATAAGCATAGATATCTTGTAATTTTGTGTAAACCCTCATATGTTAAAGGTAACTGCACTGGGTTTTCCTATGTAAGTAAAAATGAACTCCACACTATACTGCTTCCTTTTATCATATATACATACCCAATAGAAAAAGCTAAAAATATTCCAGTCTGGGCCAGCCAAAACCACCAATAAATACTAAATGATCTGTAAAATATAAGATACAATTCATTTTTCTTTTTAAGATCAGAACCATCAATCAATCCTAGATTTTAAAAAATCTTCAATTTAAGTAAAAAAAATCATCATTTACTCTATTTAATGTTACAACAGTCCAGTTAGTGGAAAAAAGAGTTGTGCTATATAACTCTGAACAATAAATGTGGATAGTGTCCACATGTGGACACAGATGATGCCCCCGCTTGCATATCATATAGTTATAAAGGGACATAACTGAAAAACGGTAAAAGTGATGCTACCCAAATTTGAACTTGATCTGATGTTTGTGGTAATAAGCATTGATTGTAAGTCTCATAACATTTGGTTGAGGCTAACTTAAGTAGAGAACAGAAACTAAAAATTTAGCAATTTTTCTATTTGTAAACACGCATAACTCTAGAATGGTTGTGTATAAGTTTTAAAACATTTGGTTGAGACAAACTAAAAAATTCAGCAATTTTTATGTTTATAAAGGGACATAACTCAAGAATGGTAAAAGTGTTGCCACCAAATTTCGTACTTAATCTGTATTATGTAGTAATAAGCATTGTGTATAAGTTTCATAACATTTGGTTGAGGCAAACTAAAGTTAGAAAACGGAAACAAAAAATTTGTACTTGATCATAGTTTTGTGGTATTGAATATTGTGTATAGGTTTCATAATGTTTGGTTGGGGCAAACTTAAGTTACAGAATGGAAACTAAAAATTTTGCAATCTTTCGATTTATAAAGGGGCATAACTCAATAATGGTTAAAGTGACACTACCAAAATTCAACTTGATCTGTGTTTTATCAGTGGAAGTCAAAATTAAACATTGCATTGTATAAAGCATTGATTGTAGTTGATTCAACTATAATCATGGACAAAGGAAGATAACTCCAATTTAAGAATTACTTGATATTAAGAAGAAAATAAAAAATTTGCAATTTTTCCATTTATAAAGGAGCATAACTCTAGAACAGTTAAAGTGATGCCACCAAAATTCAAACTAGATCTGTGTTTTGTGGCAATGAGCATTGTGTATAAGTTTCATAACATTTGGTTGAGGCAAACTTAAGTAAGAGAACGTAAACTAAAAATTTTGCAATTTTTCCATTTATAAAGGAGCATAACTCTAGAACGGTTAAAGCGATGCCACCAAAATTCAAACTTGATCTGTGTTTTGTGGTAGTAAGCATTGTGTATAAGTTTCATAACATTTGGTTGAGGCAAACTTAAGTTAGAGAATGGAAATGAAAAATTTTGCAATTTTTCCATTTATAAAGGGGCATAACTCTAGAACGGTTAAAGTGACGCCACCAAAATTCAAACTTGATCTGTGTTTTGTGGTAATAAGCATTGCGTATAAGTTTCATAACATTTGGTTGAGGCAAACTCATGTTAGAGAACAGAAACCAATTTTGGGACGTACGGACGTTTGTACGTACATACAGACGGACAAGGGTAAAACTTAATGCCCCTACCTCTATGGCGGGGGCATAAAAAATCACAAAGGACATTTTGTCATTTTCCTTGCATTTTCAATTAAAAGAGATCCCAATAAAGATCCCACTTAATGTGGTTTCATATAGCAAAAATATCATTTTTGTATCAGTTCAACAGAAATTTGTGACTTTTTTGGTCAACACATTATAAAATCTTTATACTAAATTCCTCATCATCAAATAAAATTGTGTATGCATTGTGATTATTTTGTCCATTGTGATCTTTCAAGATGTATATTGATTGAAGATCTGATGTAATACTCTATTTCTGTTCTTTCAGGTTTATGATAAATTTATTTCATAATTTATTATCATTACTGAGAGATCATTAAGTATTTATATATTGCAGGGTTCACTTCCATTGGTTTAAGCACTATGGCACCACATTTTTATAATTTTTCACTTTAGTGCCATCAAATTTACTATAATTTTTACGATAATTTTATAATGTTCCTCCAAACGCAGTGTTTTGATCTTTTTCTTCAGTACCAGGATCACATAAGTTATTCATGAAAAAATCAGGACAATTTTTGGTAAAATCTTCCAAGTCCCTACCCCAACCAACTGGGTCTGTGCACACAATGATGAGAATTGAATTACAAACATATGATTAATAAATTAAAATAATATGTGTATAATTGAGGTTTATTGACAGTTACTCCAATGAGGCATGGCCCCCTTTTTAAAACACAATGACCCATTTGCTGTGTTCATGAACATCATAGACTGAAATCTTGTTACTGTATATTCAGAAATTATTGCATGCATTTATTATTGCGATTTTTAAAGAATGGACAAAAATGTGAGATTAATTATTGCCATTTCAGGAAAATCTGCATTAAGATATATGTATCAGATATCAGAATGCAAGTTCTTATTATTGCGATACTCACCATCAATAATTTTCGCATTTTACAAAAACTTCGCAATTATTTCTGAATTTACAGTAACCTATAAATTTCAGGGGAGAACACTGCTTAATTGTTCATATCCATATGAGTTCTTCAGTATATTCTAATATTAAATGGTCAAAAATAGGCACACAAATATGACATTCTCACATCTTAATTACATTTCCTATATGTCATCAATCAGGTATATTTCCAGGGAGAAAATGATTGCTGTTAAATTATGTACACAATGTTTTTTCAATAACATACTCACTCTTGTCTATATGAAGAAAACTTTAACAAACAATAAACAGACATCATGATGAAAAACAGTAAAATGGGATCCAATAAAATATGTCTTGACAATGTTAATGTCCCAACATCTAAAACATAAATAAAAATGTGAATATTCTGGAAATAAAAAAAATTGGTCATCAGTTTGTCTTTAACAGTTCCATCTGAAAAGTTTGGTATTTATATATGTTGGACTGAGATCGACATTCAATCTCAAGTAGACATCTTTTCCTCAAATTGACATCCAATCTGACATCATTATATTAAGGTTGCTAGATTCACAGGATTTCTGTTATTTTTGCTAAATAAACTATTTCCATGTTCCAATTTAGGAACTTTGTCAGTAGTTGCTAAATGTCTCTGAATATTTTTTTTTATTTGAAGAATTTACTATTAATGTTAGATCTTGATTGTTTCTGTTAAAGAAGTGAGACTCATTTCTCCTATATATGTTTACTCACAAGGTAGAGATCTTAAAGTTATTGAAACTCTGTCATAATTTATCTAAATTGCAGATCTGAGTAATTTGTAGGGGTTTATTTTGTGGCGGAATGTTCAGAAATGAACAATTTTGTTCTTAAAAGATAAAAATACAAAATTTGCCAAAATGTAAAATAAATTCAGGGTCAATAGGCCTTACTTTTCTGTTCCCTTATAAAGACATATTGTATAGATAGCTGTCTATTGTTGTTGACTGTATGACTATAGATGTTGTACGGTTATCTTTGTCATTCAATGGCTGTCTATTGTTGTTGACTGTATGACTATAGATGTTGTACGGTTATCTTTGTCATTCGATGGCTGTCTATTGTTGTTGACAGTATGACTATAGATGTTGTACGGTTATCTTTGTCATTCGATGGCTGTCTATTGTTGTTGACTGTATGACTATAGATGTTGTACGGTTATCTTTGTCATTCAATGGCTGTCTATTGTTGTTGACAGTATGACTATAGATGTCGTACGGTTATCTTTGTCATTCGATGGCTGTCTATTGTTGTTGACTGTATGACTCTAGATGTTGTACGGTTATCTTTGTCATTCGATGGCTGTCTATTGTTGTTGACTGTATGACTATAGATGTTGTACGGTTATCTTTGTCATTCGATGGCTGTCTATTGTTGTTGACTGTATGACTATAGATGTTGTACGGTTATCTTTGTCATTCGATGGCTGTCTATTGTTGTTGACAGTATGACTATAGATGTTGTACGGTTATCTTTGTCATTCGATGGCTGTCTAATGTTGTTGACAGTATGACTATAGATGTTGTACGGTTATCTTTGTCATTCGATGGCTGTCTAATGTTGTTGACAGTATGACTATAGATGTTGTACGGTTATCTTTGTCATTCGATGGCTGTCTAATGTTGTTGACAGTATGACTATAGATGTTGTACGGTTATCTTTGTCATTCGATGGCTGTCTATTGTTGTTGACAGTATGACTCTAGATGTTGTACGGTTATCTTTGTCATTCGATGGCTATCTATTGTTGTTGACAGTATGACTCTAGATGTTGTACGGTTATCTTTGTCATTCGATGGCTGTCTATTGTTGTTGACAGTATGACTATAGATGTTGTACGGTTATCTTTGTCATTCGATGGCTGTCTATTGTTGTTGACTGTATGACTATAGATGTTGTACCGTTATCTTTGTCATTCAATGGCTGTCTATTGTTGTTGACAGTATGACTATAGATGTTGTACGGTTATCTTTGTCATTTGATGGCTATCTATTGTTGTTGACAGTATGACTATAGATGTTGTACGGTTATCTTTGTCATTCGATGGCTGTCTATTGTTGTTGACAGTATGACTATAGATGTTGTACGGTTATCTTTGTCATTCGATGGCTATCTATTGTTGTTGACAGTATGACTATAGATGTTGTACGGTTATCTTTGTCATTCGATGGCTGTCTATTGTTGTTGACAGTATGACTATAGATGTTGTACGGTTATCTTTGTCATTGGATGGCTGTCTATTGTTGTTGACAGTATGACTCTAGATGTTGTACGGTTATCTTTGTCATTCGATGGCTGTCTATTGTTGTTGACAGTATGACTCTAGATGTTGTACGGTTATCTTTGTCATTCGATGGCTGTCTATTGTTGTTGACAGTATGACTATAGATGTTGTACGGTTATCATTGTCATTCGATGGCTGTCTATTGTTGTTGACAGTATGACTATAGATGTTGTACGGTTATCTTTGTCATTCGATGGCTGTCTATTGTTGTTGACTGTATGACTATAGATGTTGTACGGTTATCTTTGTCATTCGATGGCTGTCTATTGTTGTTGACAGTATGACTATAGATGTTGTACGGTTATCTTTGTCATTCGATGGCTGTCTATTGTTGTTGACAGTATGACTCTAGATGTTGTACGGTTATCTTTGTCATTCGATGGCTGTCTATTGTTGTTGACAGTATGACTCTAGATGTTGTACGGTTATCTTTGTCATTCGATGGCTGTCTATTGTTGTTGACAGTATGACTCTAGATGTTGTACGGTTATCTTTGTCATTCGATGGCTGTCTCATTGGTGTATATCTACATCTACTTTTTTCATAAATATGAAAGGTTTGAGACAACGTACATAAGAGTGGATCAGTGTGTTCCATGAATGAAAACAACTAAATGTCCATAGAATTTGTTGTCCATGGTTGTTATCCATATTGTTTTTTTTTATTTTGTTTTGATTCTTTTGTACGGATGTTTTATCCTTTGTTGTTCCTTTACATAAGTCATTATGATTCGTAATGTATTAAATTTAAAAAAAAAAAAGGATAATTAGTATATTAAGGCAGCATTATATGACAACTATTTCAATCACTACATACGAAATGAATAAATTGTTACCTAATAATATAAGTGTGGCAGATAAAGATGAAGCTAGTAGAGATTCTGTCAATAACCAAACAGACATATAACTTAATGGCACTAAACTTCCTCCCAGTAAGGCACAAAACTGAAGAAAATAAACACACATAAAAGTATAATAAACTGTTAACACAGAGATATGTGTCGCCTTTTTGTTATCTTGATAATAAAATGCAAATGTTGAAATAAACATAGCAACTTTTACTTTAACATGTAAGTTATGCAAAATATTCAAAGTCAATGAACCATGGCTGAAGGTACAGGGCCAAACAATCTCCATGGAAATAAAATGTACAAATGCTTATACAACTGCATACCAAATATCATTGACCTATATAGCTAACACTAGTGGTTCCCCATAAACTGACCTATTTAAATCACAAACTAATACATGAAAACTAAGCAAAAGTTTCAGTCAATAGACCATGACTGAGGGGGTAGGGCCAAATTATCTCCATGGAAATGAAATGTGTCAATGCTAATACAACTGCATACCATATTTCATTTACCAACCACTAGTGGTTCTCCATAAAATGAACAAATCACAAACTAATACATGTAAACTAAGCAAAAGTTTTAAAGCCAATAGACCAGAAATAGCATAACTATGCCTTGCTTTTTGACTCCATCATGGCGAGACAAAAATTACAAATTGTGCATTTGGTAAATACATGTATATAAATTTACAGTGGTTGCAGTTGGTTGCTGTTTGCCAAATTTGTTTCTTCCTTTCTTGTTTTTAGAAAAAATCTGGCCATTCATTTTCCAGCATATTTGATATTTGTATGCATAACAGTGGCTGGAATAAATTAGATGTTCCATAATATATACATATCTTTTTTACATTTGACAAGAAAAACTTACCATTCTCATACCAATATAGTTAGTATCACCATACTCATCCCCTGGTTTGGCAAATGGGAACTCTCCATCATAGCCAGTCAAAACACCAGACAATGCTATCAACATCTGTAAAAGGTAAACTTAATCATTTATTTCAATTATATTTCATATTAAGAAAAGATTTTTTTATTTTATTTGATTATAATGAGTATTACAATGCAACAACCTTGAATTTTCATGAAATATCAATATGTACATAAATCAGGTCTTTAGTTTTCTCGTTTCAATTGTTTTACATTTGCCTTTTATAGCTTGCTATGTCGTATAGGTTTTGCTCATTGTTGAAGGCTGTCAGTTACTTAAAGTTGCTAACTTCTATGTCATTTGGTCTCTGGTGGAGAGTTGTCTCATGGGCAATACTACCACATCTTATTATTTTTATATGTACAATGTACATGTATCTATTCTTTTATCATGTTTTATATCTTTTTTCACTTCAGTAATCAAGATATTTTGTAAAAGTAAAATCTAAACATAGACTCTCAGCAAATAAGAACTAAATAGTACAACAATAATAAATTAAAAAAAAAAAACCTGCCAAAAAAGCCTCATATAGAGATCTAGTTGTTAATAATTAAATATGAGCCACAGTCTTTTCAAGAAGGATTGACTTATATGTGTGAAATATTTTTTTGAGTAAGGCTAGGTTTCACATCTTATTTTGCCAAAATGTATGAGTAAAATGATTTTTACTAAGTCAAATTTGTCAACTTCAGATGACATGCATATATCTCATGATCTGATAACCAGAAAAATCTTTGTATAAAATATATTAATTATTCATATTCTGCAAGGAGGCTACCTTGGAACTATTGATGCAAAATTTAGTGCTACCTTTTGTTACATGGAAATTAATGGCAATACATATGGAGTTCATCACAACCCTATGAACAAGTTAACCAGGAAGTATTATTCCATATGTACAGTACATGTACATCGTACATGTTTGAATAAGCAGTTATAAATTTCATAAAAACATATTGTCCTCCTTTCATATTAAACTACTGGATAGTATAAAATGTATACAGCGAACTTTATTTATATGTGTAATCAGTATTCAACAATTACCTTTCCAAGTGGAGGATGAACATCAAAGAAAAAAGTCCTCTTTATATACCAACTTCCCATTTTTCCAAAATGAGTTTCATCCCAGCTGAAATTAAATCCCTTTTAAATTGTAATAAAGTTTTGTAAAAGTGAAAAAAAAAGAAAATATTGAGCAATTATAAAATCCTATGTTATCATCAAACTTTCAAATGGCAATGGCAAGGCTATGTTTGCAGATAGTTTTAGTGGGTACAAGACAACTCAGACCATCTTCAAATAAAATGCTTCGCTGAGCGCAGCTGGATACGACCGCAGAGGTCCAACCCTGAACAGTTTGGGCAAAAATGGACACGCGCTTGATACAGGTCTGAATTTGGATTATAATTAAATATTTGACACATAATAGGTTTCTGACATGTCTGATATTTGAAGAAATTTTCTTTTTAATTTCTGAAATCTGAAATGAAAAAAAAATTGCCCCCCACCATTTCTTTTTTACCCCCCCCCCCCCCTTTCCCAAAAAAAAAATTCTTTCTCTCAAGATATGGTCATAATCTCAATTCAAATTTCCAATGGAGTTTGCAACCATAATTACCAATTTAAATACATCATAAAAGTCTTAAATAGATAATTTAAAAGCAGTGTAAGGGAGGTAATCCAACATTGTACAATTTTGTTTTTGGATTACCTCCCTTACACTGCTTTTGAATTGTCCATTAACCAGGAAACCGTCTATGAAGATAACTCGGACCGTCTATAAAGTCAACTCGGACCATCTATAAACTCAACCTGTCTACAATGCCAACTTAGGCAACATATTACGTAAAGAAAAGTTTTGACTATATAAATGATGAAATGAGTGTCTACGAAAAAAACACTCAGACTGTCTATGAAGACTAGTTGGTCTATATAGAGTCTAGACAATTCAAGATCACAACCTTTTTTGTGCAGACATGCATCTGTCTTTTTTTGAAGATTGGAATAATTAAATTTACATTATTGATTGTTAATTTAATCATATTTCATTATGACTGTAGGTAAAATACAATGAGATTATAATAAACTAATTTAATAAATAATGGATTCAATTAACAAATAAAATTGAGTTTGTTTTAATGAATTAACAAAGGATACTGTTAAGTGAAATATATCATTTAATCATTTAAATAGCACAATGTCAAACTCTTAGTATATAGATTGTCTGAGCTGGCATTGTAGAAAGTCTGAATTGACTGTATAAACAGTCCTGGTTGAATTATTGACATACTTTAGATAAAATACAAAATAAATACGCTATGATTAATAGTGAATTCAACAACAAAAAATTGAACCAATTCTCTTGATTTTTTTTTGCAAATTCAGTAACATTTAAAGGATACTTTTATGTGATGTATAACATTTAATCGTTTATAATCATTGTCTCTGGACTGAGTTATCCATATTAGTTTTAGTGAGTTATTTTATGCCTTAATTTTCTGATTACATGTTGTTTGATATACGCTTATCTCGTTGATGCATTAAAGTGAGGTTTTTTTTAATTTAACCATGCATGTGTAGTATTTTACATTTGTACATGCATGTGTGTATTGCCCACTCCTTCTATTATGTGTATTATTTTATCTTAAATGTAATGCAAATTGTTTTATGAAGTTGATTCAAAAGTTATTCAGAGTTCAAGATCAATGATGATATTTGTAGATTTGCACATTGAACTTTAAAAAAAAACTTTCGATTAGACGTTGAGTCTTGACAAAATTTTAAATGAACAGACTTTCAGGAAGCATGTAAATTACTCTCAAGCATCATATAATTTCTTTTATTTGTATTTTAGGGATGGTCAGATATATCAGATTTCAAATACAATGTAGAATATCTAAAATCATTAAAAATATAAGCAAACAAATTTAGAAAAATGAACCTACCACACATGTGTTGGATTTTCAATATTATAAAATCTTGTAATAATGGAAAAAATAGTAAACAGTGATAACAACAGAAAGTACATTCTTTCAGTAGATCTAAAACTTTCATTTTCATCTTCAGTTTTTCTATTGTCAACATTTTTTGCATTTGTTTTGGTCGTCTCTTTCGAATAAATAATGCTCTGTTCATTTTTCTTGGTTGAAATATATCTGTCGGAGCATGCCTCCTCTTTTCTCTTCCTTAAACCATCAGATGACATCTTCCTCTTCAGTAAACTGGTAAACGCCTGGGGAAAGGGTGGACAAAACACAATTTAGAATATGCTCATCTTCATGTATAATAATTTTCAATACTTTAAAATGTATGTGGACACTATCAGTCTTGTATAATATTCAAATGTTATGTTTTCTTCCACATTTTTGAGATAGAACAAACTTTCACGTCGGATTTCTACAACAAATTTTCTTTCATGACATACAGGTAAAGGGAGATAATCATTAATTTTTGTTTAAATACTTTCGTAAATGTATTCAATTTCCCTTATATTAAATTACTACTTACAACTGAAATATACAGATATATTTTTGAAAACATAATAAGGTGATTTTTTTTGCATTTAATACTGAAATGATGAGAATAAAGAATTCGAAACAATTTTTTGGGGTCATCATTGAGGACAAACTGGGCAACACGATTTTATTCCCCTGATTTATTCAATATGTCAAAGGTCTGTATGCTTAGCAGAATATCGGCCCAGTACTTTGCATATCATACCCAACCAACTGAAATTTGTGAAGCTATTAATCCGTTGCTCAATGACCAGCATGGAATGGAATGATTGTAAAAAATGTAAGGTGCACAAGTCTGTCTGTCACTTACTGTCAGGGTTCATCTGACCTTGACCTCATATCGGACTACAAGTCCCAGACCTCATATTCATGGTTCATTGGTCAATGTTACATTTTCATGGTTAAGTATGTTTCTCATATACTATAAACAATAGGTAAACTATATTTGGTATAAGGAATGATTGCAATGTGTACATGTAACATGTCTGTGTAGCAAAGTTCACCTGACCTTGACCTCATTTTCAAGGTGGATTGGTCAAAGTTAACTTCTCATGGTAAGGTCTGTATACAGGTACCATAAGCATATGGTCATCTATATTTGGTGTATGCAACGACCAAATGGTGTACATATCTGTCTGGTAGAGTTCATCTGACCTTGACTGCATTTTCCTGGTTCAATGGTCAAAGTTAAATTTTCTTTCTTAGGTCTGCTTCTCAGATACTATCACCTATAGGTTAGCTATCTTTGGTGTATGGAATGATTATTAGACATACATACATGTATCTGTCTGAATGGTTCATCTGACCTTTGCTCCTTTACAATAGACAATAGAGAATTAAGACCTCAGAAACAGACTTTCACAGAAGATATTGAAGATATTGAATGCCCTCATGATGGTTTCAACAGAAGGGCCAGACTCAAAAGATTTCAACTACCAAAGAGCAGCCACTTTCTGGAACAGCATGACTAACAGAAGAATTGACCTAGGTGAACTAAGTGAAGACACTGACAGCAGGGACAACTAAACAAGACTTGAGTTAGAAACATTTGCTAGTGCTTAAAATGACAATTGTGCTTACTATGTATGCTTTTAAGTTTATCTTTGATATATATTTATGTAATAAAGATGTATGAACAGTATGTTTTCTTTCTAATGACAAATTTATTGCGAAGATGCCAATGAACACGACACATCCTCTATGAAAAATTTCTCCCCCACCCTTGATTTTCATTCTGTGGTGATCCCTGGACAATATTTATTTGCACAAACACATTTACAGTAAATGTGGCATACAGTATATATCATGAATCACTGATAATGTAATACTTGTTGTAAAATCTTTTTCTCTATGACTTTCAACATAAATTCAGTCGTGATCAGTAATGCAGGCGAGACTTTTCATCGTGTGCACACTTGTTTAAACAAGTTATTTGATTTTAAATTTCTTGAAAAAGTAATTTGTTTACAAAGGGGAGTAAAGAAAATAGTTTGTTTCCATTGAAAATTAGAGGGAAATATAATTCAACATTGATTTAAAAAGAAAAGTCTTGTTCTTGCAGGGGTGTGGATCAATTTGTTGTGAGCACTTGTCCCTGGGCAAGTAAAACTGTTGTAAATTTGACTTCTGTGGAAAAAGTTACTTGCCCTGAATTTCTAACAAAAATATAAAAGTATTTTACTGTAAGCTTGTATGATTCTCAAAACTGTTTTGTTATCAATATAAATGACATTTGTGATATTTACTTAAGTGTATAATTAAAAGGATTGATTGATTGATTGGTGTTTAATGCCACTTTCACCACTGTTGTGCTATTTTGTGGTGGTCAGTTTTTATTGGTGAAGGAAGCCAGAGAGAACAAAAGAAGGTATGGGGTTAACATCAATGAGACAGAAACCCAACAGCAAAACAACCAAAAGGCCACTAGATGTCAAGTTCCAACGTTTTTAAAATGCTATCCAGTAGGGACAATGTATATGTACTAAGTTTTGAAGCCAGTGAAGAAATGAAAACTAAATGATAGATCAGCTATTGAATTGTAATTGTATATAAGTAATACAATGTAATTTGAAATAAAACCACCAGTTTTATTAAATAAGCTAAAAATGTCAATGAAATTACTTTTCTCGCTTCTGTTTTTTCCCATTCATATTCTCTGTCTTTCTCAACCTGAGTTTTCCATTTTGTACTCAACTCATCATTTTTACTTTCATTCTTTTTGTCTTAATTACCCAGTCTAGGTGTTTTTCTTAGTTATTTATCTGTCTCGATAGAACTCAATCATGAAGAATTAAAATGACACTTCTGTTACATGGTTAGATGGCAGATAAAACCTAATCAATGATCAATGGACAAAGATAACGTAATGTTTATTAGACCTGGGTTCGCAAACTTATTTTTTTTATTTTGGTTTTCGATCTATTTCCAGTCCTGTAGACCATAATAAAGATTTTCCTTGCAGTAATCTATGATGTTGTTGTCTTTGTGTAGCATTATTTCCAGTTTTATTTAATACTTCTTGTCTTGAACATAATTTTATGTTTTGACTTAAATATATGTTTTTCACATGTTGATCATTGGTTTCTTTTACATAAAATAGTACAACGTAATATGTTGTGAAAATAATTCTATATTTTTGAGTAAATTGAATTTTATCAAGTCTAATTTATTTACTTGTCTATGGGCAATCCCAAAAAAAAATACTTGTCTTGATGTTCAAATGTATGAGTCAGGTGAGTCAGGCATAGCATTTCCACACCCCTGTCCTGTATGTTATTATTAGAAATTATTCAAATAGTTTGTTTTTTTATTAAAGTTGAAAAAAACCATGCCCTTACAAAGATGAAAGGTCCCTGCCAGAGTAAAAAGATACCAAGGGCGCAACAAAAACCACAAATTGAAGAAAGGAAGACAAAATCATGGCCAAAAGAAAAATGATATGAAAAGACAAACAGCAATCCACAAAACACCACACTGAAAACATAAGATTGAGCAACACAAAACCAATACAACTTGTTATTGGTCTTTATTGGCAATTAACACTGAACACTGAAGTGCATATCAACTTTGATCTTTTTTTTTTTAGGACATTTTCTATGTTATGCAGTTAAAGGGTTCAACACAATAATATGAATAGATTTACAGGAGTGAAAATCAATCAAAACTTTCAGATTTTCAGAAAAAAAGCTTGAAAATATACTAAATTTGTTTTGACTTGCCATGCTCTACAACAAAATGACTTAAAATTGCTCTTTTCTAGTTTACAATGAGGTTATTAATAAATATCGTGTTTATTGCTATCACTGAACTTCTTATTTTAAATAACTATTTTTTTCTGACCTATTTTAGCACAAATGTACATCATGATTTACAGACTTGTTTAATATTTTTTTTTTTAATTTTCAGCCAGTTTTGTACTCATACTTCAAAAGCTCCTGTTCATGGAGGGTTAGAATAGGTAAGAAGACTTTAAAAATATTTTCATGACTAAGACAACTTTTACAACAGGAATACAGAAATCATAAATTAGTCAAAAGTTTTCTAAGTTTTTTTCACATTTAAAGGGGATAAAGATCAATCCACTGACAGGAATTTGATAACAAAAAGTATACTTCTAACCATCTTATTATGGTAATATTATTTATAAAACAAACAAGTTTAGGAATTGTCCTACATATCTTTCTTTTTGGCTTGATATACATTTGTTTGTATTTATTGATAAATGTTATAATTATACTTTATTGTTAAATCACTGTGTTTGGTATTTATAGTTTATAAATAAACAGTAAAATACATTTGTACTCAGATTTTCATTTTGACGGTTGTACATTGAGATAAAACCTTTTCTTATTTACGGTGAAGAATTATTTGTATAATGTTTTTCAGCTTTGTTGATGAAGAAAATTGATTTTGAATACTCAGCTGTACATTTAGTAAAAGATGGAGGACAACAGGTAAACAAACAAATTGTATTGTAGATTGTTTTTTGTTGTGCCCCACCTACTATAGAGAATTATGTTTTCCAATTTGTGAGTTCGTCCGTCTGTCTGATATCATGTTAAAGTTTGTGGCTTAATGTAGTTAACAATATAATTGTAGTCACATCAACTTGAAAGTTAGTGGACATCTTGATTATGATATGAACATTTTATGTCCCCACTGGTCATATATCTCCTCAAGTTATGGACATCTTCATTATGATATGAACATTTAAGGTCTCCACTGGTCATATATCTCCTCAAGTTAGTGGACATCTTGATTATGATATGAACTTTTAAGGTCTCCACTGGTCATATATCTCCTCAAGTTAGTGGACATCTTTATTATGATATGAACATTTTAGGTCTCCACTGGTCATATATCTCCTCAAGTTAGTGGACATCTTGATTATGATATGAACTTTTAAGGTCTCCACTGGTCATATATCTCCTCAAGTTAGTGGACATCTTGATTATGATATGAACATTTTTGGTCTCCACTGGTCATATATCTCCTCAAGTTAGTGGACATCTTCATTATGATATGAACATTTTAGGTCTCCATTGGTCATATATCTCCTCAAGTTAGTGGACATCTTGATTATGATATGAACTTTTAAGGTCTCCACTGGTCATATATCTCCTCAAGTTAGTGGACGTCTTGATTATGATATGAACATTTTAGGTCTCCACTGGTCATATATCTCCTCAAGTTAGTGGACATCTTGATTATGATATTAACTTTTTAGGTCTCCACTGGTCATATATCTCCTCAAGTTAGTGGACATCTTGATTATGATATGAACATTTTAGGTCTCCACTGGTCATATATCTCCTCAAGTTAGTGGACATCTTCATTATGATATGAACTTTTTAGGTCTCCACTGGTCATATATCTCCTCAAGTTAATGGACGTCTTGATTATGATATGAACTTTTTAGGTCTCCACTGATCATATATCTCCTCAAGTTAGTGGACATCTTGATTATGATATGAACATTTTAGGTCTCCACTTGTCATATGTCTCCTCAAGTTAGTGGACATCTACATTATGATATGAACTTTTTAGGTCTCCACTGGTCATATATCTCCTCAAGTTAGTGGACATCTTCATTATGATATGAACTTTTTAGGTCTCCACTGGTCATATATCTCCTCAAGTTAGTGGACATCTTCATTATGATATGAACTTTTTAGGTCTCCACTGGTCATATATCTCCTCAAGTTAGTGGACATCTTGATTATGATATGAACATTTTTGGTCTCCACTGGTCATATATCTCCTCAAGTTAGTGGACATCTTCATTATGATATGAACTTTTAAGGTCTCCACTGGTCATATATCTCCTCAAGTTAGTGGACATCTTCATTATGATACGAACTTTTTAGGTCTCCAGTGGTCATATATCTCCTCAAGTTAGTGGACATCTTCATTATGATATGAACATTTTAGGTCTCCACTGGTCATATATCTCCTCAAGTTAGTGGACATCTTCATTATGATATGAACTTTTTAGGTCTCCAGTGGTCATATATCTCCTCAAGTTAGTGGACATCTTCATTATGATATGAACATTTTAGGTCTCCACTGGTCATATATCTCCTCAAGTTAGTGGACATCTTCATTATGATATGAACTTTTTAGGTCTCCACTGGTCATATATCTCCTCAAGTTAGTGGACATCTTGATTATGATATGAACATTTTTGGTCTCCACTGGTCATATATCTCCTCAAGTTAGTGGACATCTTCATTATGATATGAACTTTTAAGGTCTCCACTGGTCATATATCTCCTCAAGTTAGTGGACATCTTCATTATGATACGAACTTTTTAGGTCTCCAGTGGTCATATATCTCCTCAAGTTAGTGGACATCTTCATTATGATATGAACATTTTAGGTCTCCACTGGTCATATATCTCTTCAAGTTAGTGGACATCTTCATTATGATATGAACTTTTTAGGTCTCCAGTGGTCATATATCTCCTCAAGTTAGTGGACATCTTCATTATGATATGAACATTTTAGGTCTCCACTGGTCATATATCTCCTCAAGTTAGTGGACATCTTCATTATGATATGAACTTTTTAGGTCTCCAGTGGTCATATATCTCCTCAAGTATTCAAGTACTTATACATCTGTTGCTTTTAAAATTTTCGGTTTTATTATTCCTGATGAAGGTATATCCAGACACACACACCAAATTTAGGTACACAGTTAGGTACAAAAACTTAAAATTGACTCTCATAATTTTAACCACTCTCTTTCCCTTGCTTTCTAACAAATTAGACTTACTGTTTGTGTCATGTATTTATATATATATGGAAATAGCATCTTCCATAGATTTGATTTTCAGTAGTTAAAATGGTGAAATATAATATCTTTTTGGTATAATTATGGTAACAATCTGCATTTATTTGAAACAAAATATTGCATAAAAAGGTGGGGGGGGGGGGGGGGGGGGGGTGAAAATGTAACAAATGCCCCTAAAGTTTCTGAAATCTTTGACATTTATCTGTCTAAAGATCAAATAAAAAGCATATGCATTTGACCTCATTTTTCCATAAAATTGAATGGAAAATTTGGAGGGTAAAAAAATTGTTGGAAAACATAGCAATAATTTTTAGACCTATGACTGGTATGGATGTAAAAATATGGACTGCCAAACAGAAAATGCCCTATAAAACATGCAACAAACAATCTTGATGTTCATATACACCCATTTTGAAGGCTTATTATTCTTCAGCTATCTGAAAACTAATTTTATTGCATATATAACTTTCATATTTAAAAAATTCACCATAGCCAAAATGCGAAACCAAACTCCTAACTGTGTATTGCTACCTTATAAGTGTTATTTTCATTCCCAATTAGGGTTTAAACCTAGATTTTGTGGTGTACTGATCACGTTAAAGTTTTGGTTTAAGGTAGGTTAAAGTTGTGGTAAATGAATAGATTATAGTTCTGGTTTTAGTTAATGTTTTCTATTTTTTGCAAAAGATGTTAAATGAATAATAAACATTGATTACAACTCACATTTTTAAATTTTGATAATTTCTTTATTCTTTAAAATTCTTTAAAATTCTTTATTATATAAACTGAACACCTCAAAACAGGCATTCAAATGAGTTAAATGGTATTTAAGCACATACATACCCATTTAAACAAAATAGCAGTAGATTTAAAAGACTTATGACAATGAAAGAGGGGCGTCAGGGCATCTTGCGCTCAAAATCCCCCATGTAGTTTTTGAGAAGTTGGCAGGTATGGCATTTGAATCTATAAAAGAATTTCTGGAATTAATGTTTATTATTCATTTAACATCTTTTGCAATAAATAGAAAAAATAATGAAAAACTTTCTGTATTTACCATTCTTTAAAAGGAAGAAAAATTAAATGGAAAATTACTTTTCACAGTATGTACCAAACACTAAGAATACTTTGTATGAAATTAACGTAAAAGGAAATATTGATTCATTTATGATCATAATTTTGAAATATACAAAAGCAGATGTGAGGTTTACTTAAATGAGATAACAGAAACCCAGCAATGAAATGAAATAGACTAAATTACTTGTAATTACAGAGATCAGAAGAATACAATACTATTAATCCCATGCAGCAAGTTCCTACTCTAGTCATCAATGGTCAGCGAATATCACAATCAGTAAGTATCAGTGGTTCAATGGTCAGCCATTATCACAATCAGTAAGTATCAATGATAAGCCTTTATCACAATCAGTAAGTATCAATGGTCAGCCATTATCACAATCAGTAAGTATCTATGGTCACCCATTATCGCAATCAGTATCAATGGTCAGCCATTATCACAATCAGTAAGTATCAATGGTCAGCTTTTATCACAATCAGTAAGTATCAATGGTCAGCTATTATCACAATCAGTAAGTATCAATGGTCAGCCTTTATCCCAATCAGTAAGTATCAATGGTCAGCCATTATCACAATCAGTAAGTATCAATGGTCAGCCATTATCACAATCAGTAAGTATCAATGGTCAGTCATTATCACCATCAGTAAGTATCAATGTCGGCCATTATCACAATCAGTAAGTTTCAAAAGACGGGGGAATTACTGAAATAAAAAGTAAAATAAGTGATTTCTAAATCACTCATTTAAGTAGCAAATTAGAAATTCTGTGATTTTGTAGTTTTACCAAAATTTTAATCATACAGGTTTATATAAAAATAAGAAGATGTGGTATGATTGCCAATGAGACAGCTCTCTACAAGAGACCAAATGACACAGAAATTAACAACTATAGGTCACTATACGGTCTTCAACAATGAGCAAAACCCATACCGCATAGTCAACTTTAAAAGGCCCCGAAATGACAAATGTAAAACAATTCAAACGAGAAAACTAAAGGCCTAATTTATGAACAAAATAATGAACGCAAAACAAATATAATACACAGAAACAAACAACAACCACTGAATTAAAGGCTCTTTGACTTGGGACAGGCATATACAGAATGTGGTGGGGTTAAACATGTTAGGGGGCGCCCAACCCTTCCCCTAACCTGGGACAGTGGTGTAACAGTACAACATAAGAACAAACTACAAAAATCAGTTGAAAAAGGCTTAACTCATCAGATGGATACAAATAGAAATACAAATCTAAAAAAAACACAGAGTGGACATAGCAGGGTACTTATACATCCCCACAACAAAAAGACACTAAGTACAGATCTGAGAGTACCTCACAGTTACTGACAGCTAGTTCAAAGCCAATAACAACTAATAAAAAAAATCATGCATCTATTCTAAGACTGCACCTAATTATTGGTAAAATTGAAAAAAAATGGACCTTTTACTTCTTTTTAAGTGGCAAGGTTTATGCCTTTGATGCAATCATTCGTCTGTAAATTCCAAATTTGTTGAAAAAATTCTATAATGATGGCTTTACATAATGATCTAATACTTTCTTAACAGATTTTTTCCCATGCGTTTTATCAAACTTTCAGAAAGTTATATAAAATCATCAAACATCTCAGCTTTTTTTTCCCCTTTTGTTTAGATTGCTGTATTAGAATATTTGGATGAAGCTTATCCAGATCCTCCATTACTGCCAAAAGATTCCTTACAAAGAGCCAAGGTATGACATTAGGAAACAATTATAAATTAATGCTACTTCCTTATTGAACATTAGTATTCAGTTGACACCAATCCATTTTAAAACAAAGTCCTGTGGACAGTTATCCAAATAAAGAAAAGCATTTTGTTTGTTGCTTTTTTTTTTTTTTATACATTTATAGTTCTATTTCTCAAATTTGTAATTGACTATCTCCTGAATTTTAATTGCTACATATACCATTTTATTAGATGTTCAAATGCAGTTTAATGTGTTCTAAATGCAAACAAAATTTCATCATAATCCAAATATCGCCCAATTATGTAAACTTTTTACCTGTGTCCCCAGGTCTATTAACTGTCTGACTCTGTTTGTCTGTATGGAAAACCTTAGGTAGAAAACTTTCATTAAAGTTTTCTTGTTTTCTTGGCTTCTATAAAAGGGAATGATTTGATATTTGGTCTACAGCTTGATAATAGTTGCAGCAAGTAAGCTATTTTCTCATCTGCTATGCGGCCACTTCCTGATTGCCGATCATTTGAAATTTGATATTACTCATTGAACAAAGAAAATTTTTGTCATATCTTTCTTGGCTTCTATCAAGGGAAATGGTTTAATATTTGGTCTTCAGCTTGATAATGTTGAGTTTACCAAACTTGGACAGAAGCTTGTTTATGATCATAAGATAATATCCAAAAGTAAATTTTGTAAAAAAAAAAATTCCATTTTTTCCGTATTTTACTTATAAATGGACTTAGTTTTTCTGCCAGGAAACATTACATTCACTCTGTGGTTAAAGTTTTTGAAATTTTAATAACTTTCTTAAACTATCCTGGATTTCTACCAAACTTGGAAAGAAGCTTGTTCATGATCATTAGATAGTATCCAGAAGTAAATTTTGTAAAAAAAATAATCATTTTTTCAGTATTTTACTTATAAATGGACTTAGTTTTTCTGCCAGTTAACATTACATTCACTCTGTGGTGTAAGTTTTTAAAATTTTAACAACTTTCTTAAACTATCTTGGATTTGTACCAAACTTTGACAGAAACTTGTTTATGATTAAAAGCTAGTGTCTATAAGGAAATTTTGTTAAAATTTTGTTAAAATTTTGTTCCATTATTTCCGTATTTTACTTATAAATGGACTTAGTTTTTCTGCCAGGAAACATTACATTCACTCTGTGGTTAAAGTTTTTGAAATTTTAATAACTTTCTTAAACTATCCTGGATTTCTACCAAACTTGGAAAGAAGCTTGTTTATGATCATAAGATAGTATGCAGAAGTAAATTTTGTAAAAAAAAAAATCATTTTTTCAGTATTTTACTTATAAATGGACTTAGTTTTTCTGCCAGTTAACATTACATTCACTCTGTGGTGTAAGTTTTTAAAATTTTAACAACTTTCTTAAAATATCTTGGATTTGTACCAAACTTTGACAGAAACTTGTTTATGATTAAAAGCTAGTATCTAGAAGGAAATTTTGTTAAAATTTTGTTAAAATTTTGTTCCATTATTTCCGTATTTTACTTATAAATGGACTTAGTTTTTCTGCCAGGAAACATTACATTCACTCTGTGGTTAAAGTTTTTGAAATTTTAATAACTTTCTTAAACTATCCTGGATTTCTACCAAACTTGGAAAGAAGCTTGTTTATGATCATAAGATAGTATCCAGAAGTAAATTTTGTAAAAAAAAAAATCATTTTTTCAGTATTTTACTTATAAATGGACTTAGTTTTTCTGCCAGTTAACATTACATTCACTCTGTGGTGTAAGTTTTTAAAATTTTAACAACTTTCTTAAAATATCTTGGATTTGTACCAAACTTTGACAGAAACTTGTTTATGATTAAAAGCTAGTATCTAGAAGGAAATTTTGTTAAAATTTTGTTAAAATTTTGTTCCATTTTTTCCGTATTTTACTTATAAATGGACTTCAATATAGTTTTTCTTCCAGTTAACATTACATACAGTCTGCAGTTTAAGTTTTTAAAACATTTATTAGATTCATAAACTATCCTGGATTTTTACCAAACTTGGACAGAAGCTACCTACAATCAAAAGATAGTATAGAGAGGAATATTTTTATTAATTTTATTCCTCATTTTTGTTGAGCCTGCGATTAACAGCAAAAGTAGGCGAGAGCCGCGAGACACTGGGTTCCGCGGAACCCTTACAAATTTTTGTAACTTCCAGACATAACTTGTGTGTTAGTGTATGGATCTCTCTGACATTGTACCACAAGGTTCCATATCACAAAGGGAATGCTTGGATTGATTTTGGGGGTAATTGCCTCGAAATTTTAGGAATTGGGGGCCAAAAAAGGGACCAAAAACAAGCATTTTTCTAGTTTCATGACAATAACTTGTGTGTAAGTCTATGGATCTTTCTGAAATTGTACTACAAGGTTCCATATTACAAAGGGAAAGCTGGGTTTGAGTTTGGGGGTAATTGCCCTAAATGTTTAGGAATTTGGGGCAAAAAAGGGGCCAAAAAACAAGCATTTTTCTAGTTTCCAGACAATAACTTGTGTTCAAGTGTATGGATCTCATTGAAATTGTACTGCAAGGTACCATACCACAAAGGGAAGGCTGGGATTGAGTTTGGGGGTGATGAATCATAAGGGGGTTCAAAAAATTGTGGGGGGGGATTTTTTTTCTTTTTTTTTCTTTAAAATTTTCCATTTTAAATTGGTTATTTCTGATTTATATATAAAAGCAAATAATAATGATATGGTTTGAATAGGTAAATTAAAAATATTTAAGTTCTTAGACCACATTCATTCTGTGTCAGAAACCTATGCTGTGTCAAATATTTAATCACAATCCAAATTCAGTGCTGTATCAAGCTTGAATGCTGTGTCCATACTTACCCCAACTGTTCAGGGTTCGACCTCTGCGGTCGTATCAAGCTGCACCCAGTGGAGCATTTTATTGTACTTGTGAACATGTGCTATAAGAAGGGGTAGGACATAGATTGTAACTTGAGTGTACATATTTCTATAATTAGTGAGCTCTGGTCTTAACAAATGAAAAAAAAAATTAGGATTTTGCTCTTAATTACAATCATTAGAGTCCTGAAAATGACACAAAACATATTTTTTCTTTGATATCTATAAAGTTACAGCATTTTTATGGCTTCAAATAAAATCATGACTTTTGTAGATACTGCCTCTTTAAGTAAAATTCTTTATGTTGATTATTTTTTAGGTAAGGGAGATAACTGAAACAATTTGTTCTGGAATTCAGCCACTGCAGAACTCAACTGTTCTTCAGAAAATTGGAGACGAGAAGAAGAATGAATGGGGACATTTTTGGATAAACAAAGGATTTGTAGGTAAATACAACATACTTTTAAGGTGTAGCTATTTTGGTCAATTTAGGTAAAACAATGGTAAATTATCATTTTCATATACATTGTCATTGTCATTGGATACTTATATTCGTTACATACTGTTTTCACTGAATATATTTTGTTACTATTTTCTGAAAAACATTCTTGATAGATAAAGTAACTTCTTTATACAATTAATTTATTTCTAGAAAAAGAGTTTTTTTTTATGTATGTTTTAGGGTTATAATGATCACAAATTGGGGATTTAGATATTTTATATTTTTGGCAAATGTAATAATTGCCCGCTATGAGTTCTGATCCTTCAATTCCTGAAAATTGTCTTTTGTAGATCATAGATTACAAGCTTCGTTACCTTTTCGTAAATTCTGCTACTTTAAGCATTTCTGATTTATAGCTTACTTCTGAAGAAGAATACTAATTATTGAGGTTTCAACCAAACAATATAGATTGTATCAATGATTTTATTTTATTTGACTATACATGTACATAGTTTGTAATGATGTTTGTTTTTCCACTTATAGCTTTGGAGAAATTACTAAATAAAACTGCAGGAAAATATTGTTTAGGGGACCAAGTAACCATGGCAGATTTATGTTTAGTGCCACAAGTTAGTAATGCATTAAGGTAAAGTTTGTCAAATGAATAAAGCCAGTATTTATATTGCTATATATGTACAGATATGAGAACTCATGATCCTACATCCTGTTGATACTATTTACTTATATTTTGGCCTTGCACAAGGTCATGCGTTTCTCAGACTTTTTATAATGTCTTTACACTAAATCCGTTGAATATACACTGATTGATACTTTAGTCTAGGAGAACATGATTTATTTATTAGTTGGTTTTGAACTATCATTCAGTTACTGTGAGTACTCTTATATCAGTGCTTCATGTTAATTGTTTTTATGTTAATGTTTTTTTATTCATACCAATTTATTGAGTTAAGCCAAATGCAACTGATTTTTAAAATTTGTTACACCACTGTCCCAGGTAAGGGAGAGGGTTGAGCGCTCACAAACATCTTTAGCCATTCACATTGTATATGTGCCTGTCCCAGGTCAGGAGCCTGTAGTTCAATGGTTGTCGTTGGTTTATGTCTATCATTTTTGTATTTCGTAAATTATTTCGTTTAAAATTATATATTTTCCTCTGCAGTTATAAAGATTACATAACCTAAACCATGTATTGCTCCTATAGTTATCTCATATTTGAATTTAAACAAATGAATCTTGTCAGCCAACAAAAAAGGAAGCTGTTATTAAAAGGTCTTCACCACATTTGTTTATCTGTATGTTTTTCTGTCTGTTCATAAAAAAAAGTTTGTCAATGCAAAATCTTCTACAGGAACAAAACATGATAAAATACCTTTACACCATATGTATTTATGCAGCTTGATATTTATTTTTTGATCAGAATGACTTTTGGAGATTGTAATTGCAGTACATGGACTTTAAAAATTTACCCATGGGGATATCACTATATGTTGCATGGGATATAGATTATAATTGTACTTGGCATAAAAAAGGATAGACATGCTTGGCAATTCTTTTATTTTTAATTGTTTTTAAATGTCATACAAGTAAATATTATACTCTTAGACATTGTTAAGTTATTTCTTATTAGTAAATTTTGCATTTGAAGGTATATACTTTTCAAGTATTATCTATGGAAATTCAGAATATTTAGGTTTTTTCCTCACATATATGGCATGCCTGAAAATATAATTAAAACAATCTGAAAAAGTATGATTTGTTTGTAACAATGGTTAGTGATTCCTCAATGTATCTCTTTTCAGATTTAATGTAGATATGTCAATGTTTCCATTGATATCAAAGATCAATGAAGAATTATCTAAACTGGAAGCATTTAAAAAAGCTCATCCATTTGCACAACCAGACTGTCCAGAAGATCTTAGACAGAAATAAAAAGGTAACTGCAGTCAAAATTTTTACAGTTATGAAAATTGTTATAACTCCTTAGTAGACTGAATGTTGACAAGTACATGTACATGTAATACAAATTTTAAGAAGGCAGATGTAGAACATAAAAGTTATTAGTTGCATATCGCTTGAAAGTGAGACATAGGTATTGCTTTTCCAGCGACAACGATGATGATGGCAGCTCCGGCGTCAACAATTGTTAAGTTTTCTGCTTAAGTTAGTTTAAGTAGATAGGGTGTCTTCCTCCATCTTGGATTTTGAAATACCAGAAAACAATCGGTCTAGATCTTTAATAAAAGGTGCAAATTTTGAGAATAGTAGGTAATTCATGTGTAAGAATTTTCATTTGAATATAGAAAATGACATATTTTATCATATTTATGGTTGTATTTTACAAAAAAACAGAATACTTTTGTTTGATTCTATTTTTTCCAACTTTGCCACATAAGGGGAGGCAACTCAAATGTAAGGGCAGATAATTTAGTTAAAGTTACTTTTACAATAGAATGTGTTAGGAATTAACCTATTTTATTATGTTGGACGAAAACGGGTCCCGTGACCCCATTTTTTCTTTTTCTTATCTGAAAGCATACTATTAGAGCTATCTTCTCATATTTTATCTCAAATTTCTATGGTGTAGTTTTCGTTTTATGGCAGAAAATTGGGGTTTCCATGCATAATCTATACAAAATCTGTCAATTTTGCACAACCTGTAGCGTGAAAATAAGCCCTGTGACCCATTCTTTTTATTATAATTTTATTAAAAAGCATGATATAAACAACATTTTGGCAAATTATTAAAAAATTCTATGGATATTAATTTAGACACCCCATCTACCCTAATAGGAACTACTTGTGATAGATCATTGATATTTACTATGAAGTAGCATTACTATCAGTACATATCAGTTTGACGACTATTTCGAGGCCCTGCCCCCTAAGTCATGGTCCAGTGACTTTGAATTAATAAGCAATTTTCAATGTTAAGTTTTCTGCTTAAGTTAGTTTGATAGGATCGACTTGTGATAGATCACATGATATTTAATACAGCTTGATAACTAGTTCAAGGCCCTGCCAACTAGGTTTGACATGGTCCAGCAACTTTAAATTAACTAGCAACTTTCAATGTTAAGTTTTCTGCTTAAGTTAGTTTGATGGGAACTATCTGTGATAGATCATTGATATTTTATATAAAGTTGCATTACTATCAGTACATATCAGTTTGATGACCATTTTGAGGCCCTGCCCCCTAAGTCATGGTCCAGTGACTTTGAATTAATAAGCAATTTTCAATGTTAAGTTTCCTGCTTAAGTTAGTTTAATAGGATCAACTTGTGAAAAATCAATGATATTTTAAATGAAGTTGCATTACTATCAGTACATATCTGTTTGACGACTATTTAAAGGGCCTGCCCCCTAGGTCATGGTCCAGTGACTGTATTAATTAGCAATTTTCAATGTTAAGTTTTCTGCTTAAGTCAGTTTGATAAGAGCACTTGTGGCAGATCAATAATATTTTGTATAAAGTTGCATTACTATCAGTACATCTCAGCTTGTCGACCATTTCTAGGCCCTGCCCACAAGATCATGGTCCAGCGACTTTGAATTAATAAGCAATGTTGCCGTCGATCACATTGTCTTTTTCTGAATTTTATGTGGACAGGCGTGACATATCTCTGTGTCAACAGTTCATTATTTGTGTGAAAGATGTATGACTTATGGTGTACGGTTGCCCATCTCTCAATCCAAGCATGTATTCTGATAACTAAAGAATGGCTTTAACAAATTTTTACACAATGTATAGTTTCAAGAAGACTAGTGACTAGTTTTGATTTCTTTCTAATCAGTTGTTCCAGAGTTATTGAACTTAATCCTAAAAAATTGTCTTTTTTCATATGTGTAATGATAATTTGAATGTGCTTTCACAAATCCTTATGGAATTTTACACAAAGTTAGATTTTATAAACACTAGGTACTGTTTGATTTTTAGGATAATTAGATTTTCATTACTGAATCATGATAAACTAGGTTATTTATATATCTGAGGATAACCCAAACATGTTTTCACCAAATCAATGTGTTAACAATATGGAAAACATTTTTTTTTAAATGATAAGTAAGCTCTCTTTTGATTCTTAATCCTTTTCAGGTATTTTGGTCCAGAGATATGGGACTTTAAAGGAGACATGACACGATTTTCAATTTGTGTTTCAAAATGTTTATTTATACCTAACTTTCCCCAAAAATACATCGATAGCAACATAAGTGTTAACTATTTAGGAAAATATGTATTTTAATGAGATTTTAATGCAACGATTTATCCAACAAAACGCATGACAGTGATAAACAATGATTATGTGTGATGCCGATGGATTCAACAATATAATTAAAAAGAATATTGACATGATATTTTCTGTTTTTTTAATTGACACGCAGACTTAGAAGGTGTAAAGATGGGACTTTTTAACAAGCCCAAACTACACTTCTTTTCGCCCACTTTCATTAGGATTCCAGAGTTGGGGTCTCGGGTGCCATGCCATGAGTTCATCATAGGTCACAGGTGTACGGTACAGATGATTGACTTTCGCAATTTCAGGTCTCGTTTGAAGTTGCAAACTTCAAATGTCACTCCACATGGGGGATTGATAAAGACATAGTGATTACGCAATATTACTTCACAAGCTCTTTGTGTACATCCTGGATGTTGGTTTTGCCGAGGGCACAGGTGAGATTGGAATATATTATTGTTGTGTACAGAAAACAGGTACAACTACCTAATCATATATGTTTAATGAATACCTGTAGTACGACCATACAATACCCTATATATGCACCACCAATTAAATACCCTAACCCATGTTAGACCCATAATAGACAACCTGTATATAGATCTTATTTTTATTGCTTTTAAGAATATGCAGATATAAAAAGGTTTATAACAGTTGCATTTTTTAATTGACTTCTTGAGATGGAAAAGTAATATTCTTGTATGCTTGCAAGTCTATAACTTCATAAGAAATTATCAAAATAAAACATAAAAAGCAAACAAGGAAATGATACGAGAATGTGAATCATAAGTCTTTTACATTCTTTTTCTGACACATTCCCTCTTCCCATTCTCAATTTTATTATATTGAACATCGAATATAAATATTGACAACTATTTAGTTGGTAAAGATTCAGATGATGAAAAACATTTCTTTTTAAAATGGAAACTTTATAATAAATGAAGAAAGTGTCGATTCTGTACGGCCTCCAATAATGAGAAAACCCCATACCTTATATTCGGCTTTAAAAGTTCTCAACGTGAAAATGTGAAACAATTTTAACGAGAAAACTAACTTATTTATAACAAAATAATTTCCGTAGAAAAAAATTGACAGACATGAATCAACAACAACAACTGATCTATATGCTCCTGATTTAAGACAGGCACATTCAAAATGTGTCGGTGGTATATGTTTGTGAGCGCCTACGGTACCCTCTCCCCCCCCCAACGTGTGACAGCAGTACATAAGAACTATAAAAACCAGTCTAACGCAAAAGATTGGCACGAAGTAGAGAAACCACTAACGTTAAAACAATAGAGACAACGCACAAATACTGTTAGCTAGATCAAAGCCAAGTACAGCTAATACACAACTCATGTTCTTAAAGACTGAAGTATGTTACATGTAAACATTTTCCTGCTCAGTCCGATTGAAAATCTAACATTTATTCAAATGACCCCTTTTAGAAAAAAATATTTTGAAAAAGAACATTATGTGTTGCGAATATTTTCCTGGACTCAAGCGTTTTGCTGGTAGCAATAAACAAATTGATTGCTAAATGACTTTGGAAGAGAGGGGTGGAAATAAGTGAATTTGAATTTACTTTGTGTAATTCCTTAAATTTGAAGTTAGATTTATAAAGGTCTGGATGGAATAGCATACTTTAGAAGTGTAGTATAACTATATTAATTATTACAACATAAGATAGTTTTTCTTAGAAATGCATGATTTTTAAAGGTAAATAACATAACACGTGACTAAATCACACTACAGGTGCCTTCTTACCTTTCACCTGGTCAAGTATGCTATAGGTGTCAACATTTAATCACTAAAACAACAGCCTCCAATAAATGTTTTGTATTGTGTAATTTTATACATTAGGTGAGACGTAAATAAAATATTGAATTGAATTTTTTACATAAAAGGGGGAAAGTAATAAAATTGTTAATTGAATATCCTAATGCAGAAATAGTGTGTAAAGGATTTTTCACTATACAAATCCTTTGTGTGATCAGAGACATATATTACATATGTATTATATGTCTCTGGTGTGATGTATGGTTTCCAACCCAAAAAATTATTAGCATAACTTTTGGTGATAATTTATACCTATTAAAAGTCTCTATGTAATAAAAAATAATAATAAAAACGGACACTTTGCGAACGCCTAATTTGACTTTTACTATCGTTTTTTTTCTGCTTCTGGCGCACACATAATTATAACATTACCGTAACAGAGAGAAAAAAAAGAACAATTTGATCATCAATAATTAGAAATTTATATTTTCAATCATGATTAGAAAGTAGTTTTATTTAAATGAAAAAATGCAGAAAGCGGTCTATTAAATTTATTCATCAGACAAACCAAATATGTATGGTAACAATCCGATCGGTATTGTCTGAAAAATCGTCGTTTTTGGACTCTTCACATGAAGAATTAATATCCTTTTCTTGGTTATTTTTCACACACAATGTCTTTATAGTTTGTCAGTAATCTGGAAAAGTGCTGTCAATACCGTCCATAGTGTATCGACATCGTCCAGTTAAGAGACATTTTCCCAGCTTGTATTAAACCACTGACGTAAGCACGATCACGTGATCGTTATCTAATTAAAAATCATTCTTAATGACAAGCGCTTGATTCTTTGACCAGAAAAATGCTGATTTATCAGGTTTTGACCAGCAAAATTGTACAAAACATGTTTTAAGACTTATGTTTATTAATTTGATAAAAAACAAAAAATTAAAAAAAATCGTGTCATGTCTCCTTTAATTGTCGAAGGCAATTTTTCAAGTGTCTCAAGTATGCTTTGATGAATCTTTATGAAATTTTTCACACTGTTATATTCTTTTCATTAAATGTATTAAATCTACATATAAAGCGTGTTCTAACTGATTTATGGAAATGTGTATCATACCCTTCTTTTTCAATGTTTATTCTGACTTGTTGTGTCAGCATCTTCACCAGTTGAGTTGGTCAGGAACACTACCATATTGGTAAATGATACTGTGACTTTTTTTATTGCTATGTTAAAAGTCTATCGAATCAATTCTAACTTTTTACCTGCAAAATTATTACAAATATAAGATTTTTAAGTCAAAAGGAATATTTCTTGTAATTGTTATTTTATAGAAAATAGGAAATTAATATTGTAAGTACAAATTTAATACTAAAATTGCAAAATAAATGTAGAAACAGATTTCAGAACTGCACTAAAAAAAAATAATACTTGAGGTCCATACCCCCATTAATTGTATCTATTGCATAACCCATGATGCAACTTTATTAGCATCTCATTGAAACTATTCAATCAAAAAGTGAAAACACTTTTTTTTTACCCATAGACAATCTTGCTTTCAAACAGAAAGGGAAAAAATGAGAAATGTAAATGTATGTTTTTTTTGCTTCAGAGATCACAGAAGGAATATTTAGCTTTAACATAAGTTAAAAAAAAAAACAACAGTTGCATGTCCCAAGTCAAGAGTCTGTAATTCAGTGGTTTTTATACGCCTGTTTACGGGACGTATTATGGTATACCACTGACCGTCTGTCCATCCGTCTGTCCGTCTGTCCGTCCGTCGTCAACATGTCGGACATTAATTCAAAAATGCTTTAACCAATATGCATGAAACTTTGGTGCATTGTTTATATCTATTGACATGAGCTCCCTTTCGATTTTTATAAATTTCAGATTTACCATTTCTGAGTTTTGGGGTTTTATTCATTAAAAAAGGGGGTATTTTCCAGTTTTCGGACAATAACTCAAAAACAATTTCACCAATTTGCATGAAACTTTTGTGAATTGTTCATATCTATTGACGTGAGCTCCCTTTCGTTTTATATAAATTTCGGATTTACCGTTTCCAAGTTTTGGGGTTATATTCATTAAAAAAGGGGGGGATTTTCCAGTTTTCGGACAATAACTGAAAAAAAATTTCACCAATTTGCATGAAACTTTTGTGAATTGTTCATATCTATTGACGTGAGCCTCCTTTCATTTTTTATAAATGTCGGATTTACCGTTTCAGAGTTTTGGGGTTTTATTCATTTAAAAAGGGGGGATTTTCCAGTTTTCAGACAATAACTCAAAAACAATTTCACCAATTTGCAAGAAACTTTGGTGAATTGTTTATATCTATTGACATGAGCTCCCTTTTGATTTTTACAAATTTTAGAATATATATTTATGGGGTTTTATTCATTACAAAAAGGGGGATTTTCCAGTTTTCAGACAATAACTCAAAAATGCTTTCAGCATTTTTTATGAGACTTTAGTAAATTGTTTGTATCTATTTTTGTAAGCTCCCTTTTGATTTTTATAAATTTTAGATTTTACATTTCTTAGTTATGGGGTTTTATTCATTAAAAAAGGGGGGATTTTCCAGTTTTTGGACATTAACCTAAAAATGCTTTCAGCAGTTCTCATGAAACTTTGGTGAATTATTTATAGCTATTGATGTAATCTCCCTATTGATTTTCATAAATTTCAAATATGACATTGAGAAGAAATTGAACTTTATTTGTTTATAGTCTGACAACAGATTTACTAAGTATTGCACAACAGCAATAAATCTCTAATTGAAGATAAATTCAATTCATATAACTAATTTCAAGTTCTTTGACTACATTTATTCAGAAACCTATAATATGTCAAATATTTAATTACAATCCAAATTTTGCCCCAACTGTTCAGGGTTGGACCTCTGCAGGACGTATCCAGCTGCGCTCAGCAAAGCAGTTTATTGTTTATTGCTGTATATCATATTTGTTTTTAGTTTATTGTTTTGTTCATTATTCTGGCTGATAGTTTTCTTGTTTGAATTGTTTTACATTTGTTATTTCTGGGCCTTTTATAGCTTACTATGCGGAATGAGTTTTGCTCATTGTTGAAGGCTGTACTGTGACCTTTAGTTTTTAACTTCTACATCATTTGGTCTCTGGTGGAGAGTTGTCTCATTGGCAGTCATACCACATCTTCTTATTTTTATATGAACAACACCATAATAGGACAGGAAAGATTTACAGTTTTGTATATATTCTGTAGTTGAGGTTTACCAGTTAAATATTATCAAGAAGAAATGTGAAAAACTGAACATATTACGTCATATACATCATCAATACTTTAATAACAATATATTCACCAGCTTCTAAGTTATTTGAAAATGCTCTCTTAATTTTTGCATATAAAAGTAAAATGCTATATATATTTTACAAGCTTCTTTGTTTACTTGGATATAATATTTTTGAGGTTTACCAGTTAAATATTATCAAGAAGAAATGTGAAAAACTGAACATATTACGTCATATACATCATCAATACTTTAATAACAATATATTCACCAGCTTCTAAGTTATTTGAAAATGCTCTCTTAATTTTTGCATATAAAAGTTAAATGCTATATATATTTTACAAGCTTCTTTGTTTACTTGGATATAATATTTTAAAACAAGTTATATTCTATTTGATATTTATCTTTAAAAGAAGACTGACATTTTATTTTATTTTTCAGCAACAGATTTAATGGGGAAAAAAAACTACAATTAGCCAAATACATGTTAGATGGACAGCTGGACACTGTTCAGACATTTTATTAACAGTTTTATGGCAGCTATATAATGATCTAATGTATTTTCTTGTATTATAATTTTGAATATGAATCTCAGTTGTCTCCTCTTTTATACTTACATACCCAAAATAATGGCCTTAAAATGATTGCCTTTTTCCAGGAATTTATTTTAATCATTTAAATTCTCACACATGCATTTAAACATATAGATATTTAGTTTGAGAGTGTGTAATGATCATGAGAAAAAATATCTCCTTGCCTACCCAAAGCATTTACGATATGAGGCACAAAATGGGGAAATAATTATGTTATCCTAGTGTCATAGAGTCATTTTAGACCTCATTTTATATTTTTGTGAAAATTTAGTTTTCAGCAAAAAGGAATAAGTTTAAGATATTTTATTTATTTAAAGTCCATTTCGAAACTGCAGTATTGATTAAAAGTATTTTTGTTTTATATTCGTTCATTATTGTTGAAGGAAATCATTTTTATATTCTCGATATATTTAAGATAAAAAGTTCAAATTTGACAGATATTTACTTTGGCATTTGTCACTTCAGATTTTCTCTTTGTTAGGCATTATTTTTATCAATTTAAGATGTTTAGCGACAAGCTAAGTGGATACAATTAGACATGTCTTTTTACTAAGTCTATTGTCCTTTAAACACAATCAAGTTGTTGTGTAAACAACATATGTCTAGGTAACCTGGTCAATTAGGGTTCTTTGTCCTGTCCAGCAAAGATCTTTCCACGCCCCTTTTTACCCCAAATTATCAGGGTAACTAAGTGGCTCGGGTGTTTAACGAATCTGATTGGTCGAACCTGAAACAGTAAAGCAAAATCGAACAAGTGAATTTCGGTCTCAAAAGTGGCACTTTCTCATGCGCTTTTGAAGATACAAGTTCTAAAACCTATATCACTGTGTTTGTTATAACTGTTTTCAGGTGAGTCAAGTATTTTAATTATTCAAAGTTAATATGTTTCTTTCATTATTTTATTCAATTGAATCCTGAAACTTCGTAAAGTTTCGTTTCCATTTCATTTAGTAAAGTTGAAGTTAAATATCTATGAGTTCTGCAAGTAAAGAAGTTAAGATCAAATTGTTGTTTCTCGATCAGTGTAAATAGATGTATATATGTTCAAAAAAAAGGTTGGTTTATTCTTCACAAACTTTCTGTACTCAAGGGTATTTTTAAACGCATTATAGAATTTAGTTTTACCCTGCATGTTGGAAATGATAATTTTAACTTATCGCTTGTTTATACTTAATAAGAATTAAGGTCAGTTCTGCAAGGGTAAGATGTCAATTATTTTAATAAACGCTTTATGCGTAATTTCCACATGTGTAGGCTAATTTAATAAGAAATTATTTATCGTAAACTATTCTTGTTGTTTAGCCCTATATTATTACGAGTCATGAATTTTTGATACAAAGCAAGCATATATATTTTAAAAGCTAGTTTCCCCATTTCATATTATATTGTTTAATATTTATATTATTTGAATATTCACGATTAGTTTCGTAATGCTAAGTTTGTCTCGATTTCGAATATTTCTCAACCAATGCTCATCGTCGGAATTGATAATTTTTGGGTTAATAGGTTTTTAAATAGTTTAAGGTTTTACAAGCGCAATATATGCTCTACCATGATTATAATTCGAAAGATAAAAGAATTCAACATGTTTATTCATGTCCATTGTTAAGATATTATGCATTCAATACTTTATGCTGTTCAGCACATGCTTTATGCTCCGTTAGGTTCAAATATTAGGTCTCGCATTATGCTCATACATTTAAGATTTAGTCCGCATCTTGCTTATATATTTGAATGTTAAATAAGCTTTTATTTATAAGAAATATTATAAGCATCCGTGTTCGTCAGTTAAAATGCATATGCTCATGCATTAACGTAAAGTTTGTATACCAAAGATATTAATTGATCAATTATATTGTAAAATCATATGAATTATATGTTTCTATTATTTGCCTTATATACTATTATATTGTTATTAATTATATGACTTTCTCATGCGCTTTTGAAGATACAAGTTCTAAAACCTACTTCACTGTGTTTGTTATAACTGTTTTCAGGCCCTTACTCATCACCCTAAGTCCGTAAGGTGTGCTGTTGGTTAAGTCCAACCATAACAGTCAAACAACAGACCATACAACCTCAAAAACTCCAGTTCTGATACTAGACTGTGGGAATTTTTTAGTTAAGTAGAACAAGTTTACATGTATTTTTAACCAGAAAGGCTGGATCTTATTGTATAGAAGTTTACCGTAAGAATTATTATAATTTTTTATACGACCGCAAAAATTTTGCGGTCGTATATTGGTATGACAATGGCGTCGTCGTCGTCCGAAGACATTTGGTTTTCGCACTATAACTTTAGTATAAGTTAATAGAAATCTATGAAATTTAAACACAAGGTTTATGACCACAAAAGGAAGGTTGGGATTGATTTTGGGAGTTTTGGTCTCAACAGTTTAAGAATTAGGGGCCAAAAAAGGGCCCAATAAGCATTTTTCTTGGTTTTCGCACAATAACTCTAGTATAAGTAAATAGAAATCTATGAAATTTTAACACAAGGTTTATGACCACAAAAGGAAGGTTAGGATTGATTTTGGGAGTTTTGGTCCCAACAGTTTAGGAATTAGGGGCTAAAAAAGGGCCCAAATAAGCATTTTTCTTGGTTTTTGCACAATAACTTTAGTATAAGTAAATAGAAATCTATGAAATTTAAACACAAGGTTTATGACCACAAAAGGAAGGTTGGGATTGATTTTGGGAGTTTTGGTCCCAACAGTTTAGGAATTAGGGGCCAAAAGGGTCCAAAATTAAACTTTGTTTGATTTCATCAAAAATTGAACTATTGGGGCTCTTTGATATGCCGAATCTAACCGTGTATTTAGATTCTTAATTTTTGGTCCTGTTTTCAAATTGGTCTACATTAAGGTCCAAAGGGTCCAAAATTAAACTTAGTTTGATTTTAACAAAAATTGAATTCTTGGGGTTCTTTGATATGCTGAATCTAAACATGTACTTAGTTTTTTTATTATGGGCCCAGTTTTCAAGTTGGTCCAAATCGGGGTCCAAAATTAAACTTTGTTTGATTTCAACAAAAATTGAATATATGGGGTTCTTCGATATGCTGAATCTAACCATGTATTTAGATTTTTGATATTTGGGCCCGGTTATTAAATTGGTCCACATTGAGGTTTAAAGGTTCCAAAATTGAACTTTATTTGATTTCATCAAAAATTGAATTCTTGGGGTTCTTTGATATGCTGAATCTAACCATGTATTTAGATTTTGGATATTGGAATACCACAAAGGGATGGTAAGAATTGTCTTTGGAAGTTATGGCTCAAACCGTTAAGGAATAAGGTGCAAAAAAGGGGGGAAAAGGGTTTCCAGGTTAATGGACAATTACTTAAGTACAAAACATAATTTAAAAGGCAGTGTAAGGTTGGTAATTGAAACTCATTTGAATATCTCACCTAGACTGCTTTTAAATTATGTATATTGGAAATTTGCCAAAAACTTTATTATTAATAAATTCCATTGGGAATTTGCCAATAACTTTAGTGTAATGAACTTCATTGGAAATTTGCCAATATAAAATGTTGCTGATGAAGCTTTTTTGTTTATCTCACCTAAACTGCTTTTAAATTATGTATATTGGAAATTTGCCAAAAACTTTATTATTAATAAATTCCATTGGAAATTTGCCAATAACTTTAGTTAAATAAACTTCATTGCGTTTTTTCTAGTTTCCAGACAGTAACTTGTGTGTAAGTGTATGGATCTCTCTAAAATTGTACTACAAGGTTCCATACCACAAAGGGAAGGCTGGGATTGAGTTTGGGGGTAATAAATCCAAGGAAGGGGGGGGGGGGGGGGGGGGAGGGGGGGTGCGAAAAGTTGGGGGGGGGGATTTTTTTTTCCAATTTTTTGGGGTTCATATTTTTTTTCATTAAAGTTTTTGTAATCTTCAAATGCACAGTATTGCGCAATAGCACAGTATTGCTTAATAGCAAGAAATTTTCAATTGCACAGTATTGCGCAATTTCACAGTATTGTACAATAGCACAATATTGGGCAATAGCAAGAAATCTTCAATTGTACAGTATTGCGCAATAGCAAGAAATCTTTAATTGCACAGTATTGTGCAATAGCACAGTATGCGCAACAACACAGTATTGTGCAATAGCACAGTATTGCGCAATAGCACAGTATTGCACAATAGCACAGTATTGCACAATAGCACAGTATTGCGCAATAGCAAGAAATCTTCAATTACACAGTATTGCGCAATAGCAAGAAATCTTCAATTGCACAGTATTGCGCAATAGCAAGAAATCTTCAATTGCACAGTATTGTGCAATAGCAAGAAATCTTCAATTGAAAATAAATACAAATCTTTTAACCAATTTCAATGGGATTAATTTAAAGTCTTTAATTTTTGGGGGTTCTTACCTTGTACATTGTATTACTTTTTAGCTCACAGGGGCCCGAAGGGCCCCATGTGAGCTTATGCCATCACTTGGCGTCCGTCGTCTGTCGTCGTCTGACGTCGTAAACTATTTCAAAAATCTTCTCCTCTGAAACTACTAGGCCAAATACCTTCAAACTTTAACTGAATGTTCCTTAGGGTATCTAGTTTATAAATTGTATCCGAAGTTTTGATCCATCGACAAACATGGAGGCCATGGCTAAAAATAGAACATAGGGGTAAAATGCAGTTTTTGGCTTATATCTCAAAAACTAAAGCTTTTAGAGCAAATCTGACAGGGGTAAAATTGTTCAATTGGTCAAGATCTATCAGCTCTGAAATTTTCAGACGAATCGAACAACCCATTGTTGGGTTGCTGCCACCGAATTGGTAGTTTTAACAAAATTTTGCAGTTTTTTGTTATTATTTTGAATATTATTATAGATATATTATATATAAACTGTAAGCAGCAATAATGTTCAGCAAAGTAAGATCTACAAAAAAGTTAATATGACCATAATTGTCAATTGACCCCTTAAGGAGTTATTGCCCTTTAAAGACAATTTTACACAATTTGTTCAAGTTTGCCAACATTTAAAAATCTTCTCCTCTGAAACTACTGGGCCAATTACCTTCAAACTTTAACTAAATGTTCCTTAGGGTATCTAGTTTATAAATTGTATCTGAAGTTTTGATCCATCGACAAACATGGAGGCCATGGCTAGAAATAGAACATAGGGGTAAAATGCAGTTTTTGGCTTATATCTCAAAAACTAAAGCTTTTAGAGCAAATCTGACATCGGGTAAAATTGTTCAACTGGTCAAGATCTATCAGCTCTGAAATTTTCGGACGAATCGAACAACCCATTGTTTGGTTGCTGCCACCGAATTGGTAGTTTTAACAAAATTTTGCAGTTTTTGTCGAGCCTGCAACTTTTGTCGCAGAAAGCTCGACATAGGGATAGCGATCCGGCGGCGGCGGCGGCGGCGGCGTCGTTAGCTAACTTCTTAAAAGCTTTATATTTTAGAAGATGGAAGACCTGGATGCTTCATACTTTGTATATGGATGCCTCATGTTAAGAAGTTTCCGTCAGTCACATGTCCAATGTCCTTGACCTCATTTTCATGGTTCAGTGACTACTTGAAAAAAAAGTTCAGATTTTTTGTAATGTTAAATTCTCTCTTATTATAAGTAATAGGATAACTATATTTGGTATGTGCGTACCTTGCAAGGTCCTCATGCCCGTCAGACAGTTTTCACTTGACCTCGACCTCATTTCATGGATCAGTGAACAAGGTTAAGTTTTCGTGGTCAAGTCCATATCTCAGATACTATAAGCAATAGGTCTAGTATATTCGGTGTATGGAAGGACTGTAAGGTGTACATGTCCAACTGGCAGGTGTCATCTGACCTTGACCTCATTTTCATGGTTCAGTGGTTATAGTTAAGTTTTTGTGTTTTGGTCTGTTTTTCTTATACTGTATGCAATAGGTCTACTATATTTGGTGTATGGAATGATTGTAAGGTGTACATGTCTAGCTGGCAGGTGTCATCTGACCTTGACCTCATTTTCATGGTTCAGTGGTCAAAGTTAAGTTTTTGAGTTTTGGTCTTTCTTTCTAATACTGCATGCAATAGGTCAGCTATATTTGGTGTATGGAATGATTGTAAGGTGTACATGTCTAGCTGGCAGGTGTCATCTTACCTTGACCTCATTTTCATGGTTCAGTGGTCAAAGTTAAGTTTTTGAGTTTTGGTCTTTTTTTCTAATACTATATGCAATAGTTCAACTATATTTGGTGTATGGAAATATTTTATGATCTAAGGTTTTATTTGACCTTGACCTCATTTTCAAGGTTCATTGCTCAGTGTTAAGTTTTTGTGTTTTCGTCTGTTTTTCTTAAACTATAAGCAATAGGTCAACTATATTTGTTGTATGGAAGAATTGTTAGCTGTACATGCCTGCCTAGCATGGTTCATCTGACCTTGACCTCATTTTCATGGTTCATTGGTCAATGTTTAGTTTACTTGGTTAATGTTAAGTTTATGTGACAGTTGTAATAAAGCTTTATATTTAGGACTATCAACATAATATCAATGATTAGTAAAGAAGGCGAGACATTTCAGCGTGTGCACTCTTGTTTGTTATTATTTTGAATATTATTATAGATATATATAAACTGTAAGCAGCAATAATGTTCAGCAAAGTAAGATCTACAAAAAAGTTAATATGACCAAAATTGTCAATTGACCCCTTAAGGAGTTATTGCCCTTTAAAGACAATTTTACACAATTTGTTCATCAAGTTTGCTAACATTTAAAAATCTTCTCCTCTGAAATACAGGTGAGCGATTCAGGCTCTTGAGAGCCTCTTGTTTGGATATTGGGCCCCATTTTTAAATTAGTCTACATTGAGGTCAAAAGGGTCCAAAATTAAACTTTGTTTGATTTCATCAAAAACTTAATTATTGCAGCTGTATGATATGCTGAATCTTATTGTGCATTTAGATTTTTTATTTTGGGCCCTGTTTTCAAATTAGTCCATATTAAGGTTTGAAGGGTCCAAAATTAAACTTTTGATTGATTTCAACTAAAATTAAATTTTTGGTGTTTTTTTATTTGCTGAATCTAACCATGTTGTTAGATTTTGGATATCAGACCATTCTAGGTAAAGTGAATGTCCCATTTCAAATTTTTAAGCTCTTTGACCACATTTATTTTGTGTCAGAAACCTATATTATGTCAAAATTTTTATCACAATCCAAATTCAGACAGTATCAAGCTTGAATATTGTGTCCAAACTTGCCCCAACTGTTCAAGGTTCGACCTCTGCGGTCGTATCAGGCTGCGCTCTGCGAAGCATTTTATTTTAGTTAAAGCTTGTGATCAAATATGATCTGTTCAACTGTTTTAAAATAAAACATATGTAAAGAAATGTAATTATGTTTGTTAAATGTTTTCCTCCCTCAAGGGCATGGATTGATTATAGACTTGCCTGAAGGCTGGTGGTCACACTGTATTGCTTTTGTTCAGTATTCCATAAAACCATAATCTTGCATTGGCAACATGTCATCTTTTGTTGGATTTGGTTCAAATTTGGTATGGTGGCACGGTATAGTATGAAAATGAACTTATCCTTTCAATTTTTCGTCTTTGGCTTTGTAATTGTTCTAATTTCAACAAAACATAATGTACATGTGCTGGACATCAGTTTAATTTACCATGTCAGTTGTATTTTGAACAACACGTGATAAAAATCAACATTTCTATGGGAGTTAATGAAATAAAAAAAAGTCTTTCAATAACAAAATAAGTCTATATGAATGGATATCTAGGTACCAATGCTCATGAACCAATCTTAAAAGTGTTGCAGTGAAGTGAGGATTACTGCGTCATGTTGAGCCTCACTGTGACTTAGAAATGAAACAGAAATAAAAGTGCTGTTCTGCTGCCTTTTTTCATGTGTGTAGGAATTTTATGTCATGAATTGATACAAAATATCATTTCTGATCTATTAAGACTTGTGTACTAGACCTACAAAGAACATTTTGATTTCTGAAAACCCTTTTTACAAGTATTCACTTCTTGGATCATCTTTATTCATATCTAATATTTAGACACCAGTCAGTCTTTGATGTGTAGGGATTTTTTTGTCCCAGGCATAATGCATAACTCCAAAAATTGCCAAGTGCTACAGTTTCTTGGCTTTAATGTAAAAGAATGATTTTATATTTGGTCTGCAGCTTGATAATGTTGAGTTGTAGCATGTAACCAATTTTTATGCCCTTGCCGTAGCGTAGGGGGCATTAAGTTTTACCCTTGTCCGTCTGTACGTCCGTATGTACGTCCGTCCGTACGTACGTCCCATAGTTGGTTTCCATTCTCTAACTTTAGTTTGCCTTAACCAAATGTTATGAAACTTATACACAATGCTTATTACCACAAAACACAGATCAAGTTTGAATTTTGGTGGCATCACTTTAACCATTCTAGAGTTATGCCCCTTTACAAATGGAAAAATTGCTGAATTTTTCATTTCCGTTCTCTAACTTAAGTTTGCCTCAACCAAATGTTATGAAATTTATACACAATACTTATTACTACAAAACTCAGAGATTTTGGTAGCGTAACTTTTACTGTTATTCAGTTATGTCCCTTTATAACTTAATATGATATGCAAGTGGGGTCATCATCTGTGTCCCATGGACACATTCCTCATTTATTATAATCAACAGTGCTGCCACTTCCTGTTTGCTGATAGTTTGAAATTTTACAACACTCATTGTACAAGTGAAATGTTCATCAAGCTTTTCTTTGCTTCAAAGTTCTATGAAAGGGAATGATTCAATATATTTGCCGATAGTTTGAAATTTTACAAGGTGTTTCCTACTGACAGAAGGAGTTGAGCAGTTACTAGATCTGTTTTCCATGTTGATGACACAGGTTAAAAACAACACAGAAAATAGTTGATATATGGATATTTTCAGTCCAATTGGCATCAAACCATGCAAAATTGATCAAGATTTTTGTTTGATTCCTCTGATTTACAGATAATGTGTGAGAAAAGGATGATAATTTGATCAGCATAAAAACAGATCATCTCAACTTAACAAGAACAAGAACACCATGCTTGCTCACTGTCTCACGTTATATTGCTATGTTCAGTGAACTATGAGTCAAAACCTTAAATTGTGATATATTTTTTAAAAATTCACATCATAATGAACCCATGTTACAAATTTCAAGTTACTATTACCATAACTTCAAGACAAAACACTGTAACATTTATTTAACTGCATACACACTATCAGTGAACTATGAAATCTTGGTCAAAACCCTAATTTGGCATATTTTTAGAGTACACACCATAATAAACATAAAAAACTCTATGTCATTTGGTCTCTTGTGGAGAGTTGTCTATTGGCAATCATACCACATCTAATTTTTATACGGCCGCAAAAAAATTTTGCGGTCGTATATTGGTATGACGTTGGCGTCGTCAGAAGACACATTGGTTTTCGCACTCTAACTTTAGTTTAAGTGAATGGATCTATATGAAATTTTACCATAAGGTTCAATACCCCAAAAGGAAGGTTGGGATTGATTTTAGGGGTTAAGGAATTAGGGGCCAAAAAGGGGCCAAAAATAACCATTTTTGTAACTTCCAGACATAACTTGTGTGTTAGTGTATGGATCTCTCTGACATTGTACCACAAGGTTCCATATCACAAAGGGAATGCTGGGATTGATTTTGGGGGTAATTGCCTCAAAATTTTAGGAAAAGGGGCAAAAACAAGCATTTTTCTAGTTTCATGACAATAACTTGTGTGTAAGTGTATGGATCTTTCTGAAATTGTACTACAAGGTTCCATATCACAAAGGGAAAGCTGGGTTTGAGTTTGGGGGTAATTGCCCTAAACGTTTAGGAATTTGGGGCCAAAAAGGGGCAAAAAAACAAGCATTTTTCTAGTTTCCAGACAATTATACTTGTGTTCAAGTGTATGTATCTCTCTGAAATTGTACTGCAAGGTACCATACCACAAAGGGAAGGCTGGGATTGAGTTTGGGGGTGATGAATCATAAGGGGGTTCAAAAAATTTGGGAAGGGGGGATTTTTTTTCCCTTTTTTTTTCTTTAAAATTTTCCATTTTAAATTGGTTATTTCTGATTTATATATAAAAGCAAATAATAATGATATGGTTTGAATAGGTAAATCAAAAATTTTTAAGTTCTTAGACCACATTCATTCTGTGTCAGAAACCTATGCTGTGTCAAATATTTAATCACAATCCAAATTCAGTGCTGTATCAAGCTTGAATGTTGTGTCCATACTTGCCCCAACTGTTCAGGGTTCGACCTCTGCGGTCGTATCAAGCTGCGACCAGCGGAGCATTTTATTATATGTGTAACAAGTTTCAAATTGATATGACCAAATAACTTAAACCTAGTACTGGACTGAATGACTTACGGATGGTCAACCAGACCAGAGAAATTAATATCCTTACATCAACTTGGATGGAAAATTGGTATTTGCTGCTAGGGTGCTAAATATACAGCATGTTAAAAATCTGGCTCAGCAAGAAAGTCTAGTACAAAGCTGAGTCTCAATTATATCATATTTATATAAATTTGTCTAGAATTCGCATGTACTAACTGCCACTGTTACAGCCATCCATCCATCCTTCAAATCTTAGAAATTAACAGACAAAAAAAATGTATGTAACTGTTTGTAATAATAAATTTGTTTATTTAATAATCAAATTTAACAACATAATTAAACAATGCAATGTAGTCAACACAAATCATTTTTCATATAAAGCTATTTAGTTCTGAATTCTGAATGCATAAATGAACTTTTAAAACAATAGTTAACATCTGTTTCTGTGCAACTAGCACCATATTCAAGATCAATTAATGAACACAATTAGGAATAGAAACGAAATAGTAAAAATAAACTGGAGATCCAAATATCTGACTGTTTACTGAAAACTAAAAAAGTTTAATAAAGAATGGGACTTCATAACTAAGTTTATATATATAAATCTGAAATTACTGAACTGATAAATGGTGAATACCGGTAATGTTCATAATATGTATTTGTATTAGAAAAACTACATAATAAAAAGTTGATTTAAAAAAAACACATACAAATATGAATCTTTATACTAAGCAAACTAAGTTTTCTATGTACTAGCTGAAAAATCCCAAGCCTTTCTTGACTTTGTATAATACTTTGCATTTTAATTTATGGTGAGAGATACACTTACTTGTGTGCTAGTGTAAGAAATGTTTATCCAGCAGTCTGATTACTTTTATGATCCATTTATAAATGAAATTGGGGTAATAACTCTTATGGTAAAATGAAAGGTAAAAATACAAATGACAGATGAAATGATGTCTAAAAAAAAACTATTATGCATAATACAAAAAAAAAAAAAACATAATTTGAGCAAAAGATAATAATATATCAAGTTGACTGGAATTGTGACATTCAAACAAAAAAGACACAAAGCACTTTTGTCATAACATTTGTATTACCAAGGAATGTTGAACAAATATTATAACAGTATTAAAGTTTATTTTGAAGGAACTTATCTTTGTGCTCAACCAACGGACTCACAGGGTTAAATCTAAAGGACTTTATGTTAAGGATGTACTTAGGTCAGGTTTAGGAATTTTTGTCAGATGTTCGAACTCCTTCTTTATTTTCCTACGAAAACAGGGTAAAATATTTTGCCCCATAACACCCATTTTTCTTTTCATATAAGACTTCAATAGCTAATAAAAGGTCATTTACCAAAATTTAAGCAGATTCTAGATTTCTCTTCTTTCGATTTGAGACCCAAATAATATCAATGCAAATATAAGGTAAAAGTCCGAGTCGTCCTTTTCTTGCCATTTTTAAATATCTCGAAAAGGAGCTCCATCACCTATCAATATTTTTAGCTTATTTTGTTTCTCAAATAATGCTCTTCTGACTTAAAGTATCAATTTTAAATTCTAGATTTTTAAAATTTCACCTAAGTACATACTTAATAAATGGATCATATGTACTTAAACATAACACTGAAATTATTACACTTTAACATAATTGTACTGAAAACATACATGTAGAAGAAAACCAAAATTAGTATCTAAACCAAAATATCACAAAACAGTTTATTTGAAATCAGAATTTTAAAAATAATAATTGTGACTTATCTGATATTAAATTTTCATGAAACATTCATCTTTAAAAGATTTACCTTTGGTTTCTACATGGGAACTTTTGCTCATGTGAATGATTGTTTTCTGTGAAATTCATGTGAAATGATTTTTTTTTGTTGTTGTAAAAATTCAATTAGTTTTAATGTGAATTTCACAAACAAACAAAACTCTTGTTAAAGCCATGTGACATTTTGAGGGAAAACATTTTATTATGTTTTTGTCATCAAATTTACCAAAAAAATAAAAGGCATAATTATATTTTAATTCAAATATTCATAAGAAATTCTCACAATAATTTTTATGTGAATTTTGAGTAAAGTGTCATTCCACAAAACTGAACAATGTTGCAAACTTGTGAATTTTTGGCTACTCACTTTTGAACAGTCCTATACCTTAAAGCACCAACTGGACTAGCTTATTCTTACTACCATATTTCAAAGAAATTTCATTATCATAACCTAAACAGTATTAACTTCTGCTGGTATGGTATAAAAATAACTTGATAACCTTTAAAAAATCATAAAACTGATTGGAAGGTTATAAACTCAAATTCTTATGTAACATTTGTTTATAATGTTAGATAGGAGAATCTTAAAATGTCATGGCATCCAACTCATGCCACCTGAATATTCTGATTGGAATCGTAAATTCATACATTTTGTTTATCAATTCCATAAAAGCTAAAGTAAAGAGATAAATAGTATTGTAGTTTTAAATTTGAATTTCAAAACAGTGTTTCCCTTCCCTGTAAAGGACCATTTATCTAAACAACAATAACAAAATATGAAGTTTTGACTTTCTGCATGGTTTTTGTTCATCTATTTTCTGTGATACATGCATTGTTTCCTGTTTTGACTCATCAATACACCTTCCTGTAGTGCTTGAAGTTTGAATACCAAGCTGTGTTATGCTCCTGCCTATTTGAGTCTAATTGAGACAATATAATATTACATATAAAATGCCCAACTATGAACTTTATAGATAATGGAAAAAAATAGCACCTTATTGCAAAAAAAATACAATACTGAACTAGATGCATGGTAAAGTATGCACTATTGGCACTCACACCACATCTTCTTATTTATAACTACTACACTTATAGCAGGTAATCTAATGCCCGAAAGTAATCAGGTAAGGAGGTTTTACAATATTTGCTTGTTATCATAGCTTGAAACATTTAGAAAACCTATAGATAGTGACTGTCACAGACAAGAACAATTCTTTTTTAATAGTAGCACTGGATTTTACCTAGTTCCGTCTTGAGTGAAATGTTGCTGTTTTAATTTGAGTAATCAGCAATGTTAAACAATGTAATCTAAGAAAATTCGCTGTTTAACAACTTTCTTCACGTGTTTCCACCAAAACTCTCCCTTGGACATAACCATAAGAAAATTTTACAATATCTGAAACTTTCTCCAGAGACAGCCCCCCAACATATACATTGATATTTAACTGTTCTATAGTCTGCCTGTGAAGGTCTTTTCACTTCCATTCTAGTATATAATCCATTCACCACTGAACAATATGCTGACATCACAACTTTTGTCTGAAAGAAAAAGGATTGTAAACCAATTGATTAAGGTATAGGAGTAAAATTGTAAAGGTGGTCATTTTTGGATTTCAATTTATTGATATAAATATTTTTTTTTAAATTCTCAAATTTTTATTACAAAAATGCAATCTATTTGCATAAATATTCCATAACATCAGAAATTTATTTAGAAGTGGTGCACTGATCTTTGGAAACATCTACTGACTGATTGCTTTGGGTTCCTTGATCCAATGATCCATTTGCAATTCAAGAGATCAATTCTGTTTTTTTATGTTTTGACAGCTAAAAAGGGTCATCTTTGTTGCTTGCTTTTAAATTAAGAATGCCATAATAAGACCTAAAAATTTACCTTTAGATCACTATCTAATGGAAACTCATCTGTCTCTGTTTGAGCTTCCTGTAATCTTGATCCTTGAGAATATTCCTGCAGGAAACATGCTGTCAAATTGCCTACACCTTCAGGTCCCTAAAAATTACACAAAAATTATTTTTAATAAATATTAATCACAAAAACCTTCATAGCAGCATGTTATAAATTCATTCCCTGAATAATCAGGGTGAATTGTCTAATGGTATCATTTCAAATCATCAAAAACCATTAAAAATAATATCGTAAATTTGATTCTACTTTGCAATATTTCATGGATATTTCTACTATGGAAAACAATTAAATGATAAAACAATGTACTTTATACTGAACAAAACTACCATGATAAACCTTTTAAAACATATTTTTCCAGGCTCACATCATCCTGTTCTGTTCCTTCACAATCCCATACCTGGGTTCTATGCTTGCCAGCAGGTGTAAATTTTGTCAAATATTTGATTAAGATTGAAACTGGTGTTAACACATCAAATTTGTTTACCTGAGGCTGATAACTTTGACAAACTTATCACATTATCTTAAGGTTAGCTTGCAAAACATATAAACATTATGTTTCTAGATCATGAAAAGTAATCGGAAACAATATATTGAACTTATTGAACTAATTACCTGTGGTCCGGGCATTTTACTGATTATATCCAGTTGATCCTGCACAGTATTGTTCATTGCACTAAGAGTAGATGTAAAGTTCTGAGACACAGATAAAATATTTCCCTGATTTAAAGTCACAGCACTATTTGTCACTTGTATTTTCTTATCGACTGAAGTAAAGTTTGATGACACTACTGATTCAAGGTCATATACCTAAAACAGAAATATAGCACATTATAGATTTATCAACTCATTTATCCATACATGTGATGGACTGTGAAACTCAGATCAGGAGATTGGGAAATTTTGGTCAGGAGATTAGGACTCAGATCAGGAGGTTTTTAATCGACATTAATTTTGTCGTAAATGTAACCGTGTGCTGTAAAAAATGTCTTTTAAAGTGTGTTTTCTTCAACTTTCCATCCAATGTATTATGTTTATAGTACCTTTGTACTTATAAAGTTTCTCTATCTTTATATTCTACATGATCAATCTAACATTCTTTTTTTTTTAATATGTTCTTTAAATTTTTACTTCATATCTTTTATATCATTATTCTATAGAACAATCATAGCAATTAGAACATTTGTTTAACAGTCTGCAATTGCAAGTTATTTTTTTTTATCTTTATAGACAGGTTTTTTCGATTATCCCCCTTAGTTAGTGACGCGACTCCTAGGTGTCGTCGTAATAGCGCCGCCATTACAACCGTGAAAAAATTGTAAACAAGCCTTTATTGTCTATCGATCATAACGAAGAAAATCAACATAATGTCATTAGTAGCAAAAGAATGGAAACCTCCGGGTGTTGATAAAGTCAAAACATGGATTGACGACATGCGTGTGTGGCCAAATATGATGTACGGAGATATTTACAACTTTCTTGTTGAATCAAAAGCAGTTGACGGTCAACAAATGAAGAACTTCAAAAGCCTTCAAAGCTTTAATTATTTTCAAAGTGGAAACGTGGGTGTTACAACACATCATATTAACGATGATAAGACAATTATGTTTAAAGGAGAAGTACGGTCATCACAAACAGTCTCAAGAACAAATGAGGTATTTGTACACTGTAATGGGGATGGATCAATAGTTAACGGGTGGTGTTCGTGTATGGCTGGTCAAGGCCATACCTGTAGTCATGTTGGGGCTGTTTTGTGGAAAATTGAGCATGCAGTTAGAAACAATTTGACAGGTGTAGCATGTACAGATGAAAATGCAAAATGGAATCGTGGAACAACAAGAAATGTGGAACCAAAGCCCCTGTCGAACATTAGTTTCAAAAAACCAAAAGCAGGGGAAGATATAATGGACAGTGATGAAGACAACAACATACCGGGTAGTCGGGATACACCCATGTATACATTGGATAGAGAGTTTAAGGAAGCAGTAAACAATTCAGATTTACTTCCTTTATACAGCATCAAAGGAACAACGGCAAGCAAAAGTTTTACCTGTAAACCATTCACAAAGGATATCGTACAAGAAGATCATGGCGATCATACAGCTTTAGACTCGTGCGGAAAGTGTTCCAACTTCTGGAATAAGTACATTTCTCTGACTCCTGCTAAGGTTCAAGAATTGCATATGAATACAAAAGGACAGAGTGGCAGTGTCTTGTGGAAGGATGCCAGAAAAATACGCCTTACAGCTAGCAGTGCTAGCAAGGTTCCAATAAAGGAAACCACAGATTGCTCTGCTTTTATCAGAGAACATTTGTACCCAAAGTTTACAGGGAATAAGTTTACACGGTATGGTAATGAGCAAGAACCTATTGCAAAAAAATATTTACAGTCAGAGGGCCATAACGTTATTAATCATGGGATGTATGTGTCATTGACAGAAAATTGGCTATCAGCTAGTCCGGATGGCATAATGAATGGGGACACAATACTCGAAGTTAAATGCCCATTTCCTATTGCCAACAAATGGAATTGTTTAGATGAACTAATTGCTAATACAAAATATGATGTAGAAAAAAATAGTGAGGGGATTTATGTATTGAAGAAAAAAGGGAGCAGAGCATACTTTATGCAAATACAATTAACAATGTTTTGTACCGGGTTACATAAAGCTAAAATTTTTATTTGGAGATGTCCAGATGATAATATTCTTATAGATATAGCCTTTGATCAAGAGTATATTCAGCAACTAGTTAGCAGATTGAGGACTTTTTATTCTAATAAAATGCTGAACAGAATAGTCGATGAGATTGACAATGATCGTCTTGTACTAAGTAGAATATTTAGAAATTTTATGAAGTAATTAAAATTGCACAAGCTGATTAAATTATTTCTATTCTTTCATTTAAGTTAACTTAATTAGTTAAACCTTTCACATAGATATAGGAAGATGTGGTATGAGTGCCAATGAGACAACTCTCCATCCAAGTGTACATTTTAAGTAGTGACACTTTCTTTTTAAAATATGACAAATATAAACACAAAACAAAATAATGTTGGATACATTTTGGAGTCAATAAGAACCGGTTTTGTGCATGTACATTTGAATCATTAAACAGTGACAAACAAATGTAAAGAAGAATAAAATTATGTTTTATTTTAAAAAACAGTAATCAGGTGTGGTGCATGTACATGTACGGGTGTGAGTGCCAATTAGACAACTACAATATGTATCAACAAAAAAAGCAAAGCACAACAATGTTAACAAATATATGTCACCTAGTTAAACAGTCTTCAACAATGAGCGCCCCCCCCCCCCCCCCCCCCCCAGGGGAAAAAAGCATACTTTGAAAAATAATTGTACTTAAAGCTACATGTTGTATAAACTGATGAATTGTCCTGCGTTATACAACTATCATTATATCTATATACATGTGTATTTGCATCTGAATGTGAAAAAAATAGAGTGAAACTAACAAATTAATTGGTAAATGAAGTTTGCACATCTTGCGACGATGTCAAAGGTACATTGTATTTGGTAAATCTTGCATCAAATCTTTAAAGCAATGGTGAAAGAAGCTCGTGCTGATACATAAATGTATATGTGTGGAAAAAAGTTTATAAAGATTGATCCAGAGACGGCATACATGAACCCTGCTTTTGGCCTCCCCCTTTTTTTAACTATATATATTGAAAGAGAAACTCATTCATGCACTATTTACTTAAGTAAATATCATGCCTACATTTGTATATAAATGTATACATGTATCTGACTGGTATTACACCTGATGGTGATTGATTGTTTCTTAACGTCCAGTGGCAAATATCAATTGAATACATTATTAGATGTTAAGATTGGTAACAAAATCGTACATATGATGAAATACATGCTACAAATGTACACATGAGACCAAGTAAAAACAAACTATCTGAATAAAGAGCTTAAATTTCAGCAAATTCATCAGGTTCTCTTATTAAGTCTGATCTTAAGTTCACAAGGGCTGAACATACAAGAAGAATGTCATCAAAGTTTTTCAAGGAGGACACTGGAACAGTACTGCTTAGAATTTTGAAAACTTTAAGTCTACGAATCGCACGCTCCACATGAATTCTTACTCTTGCTATACGCCTGGTTGTTGTTAAATCCTCATTACTAAGTTGTGGTTTGCATTTTGTAAAGGCTGGAATATTTAGTTTGACTCTCAGTGGGAAAAGTAAATCATCAATTGTGAAACCCCTGTCTGCCATCACCTCGTCTCCTGGCAAAAGATACTGTAAAAAGCCACTTTTTTCTACTATAAATTTATCACTTGCCCTACCTCCAAAAGCCCGAGAAATAAACATTATATGTCCATGAGGTGCAATGCCTACAAGATATTTTGCAGTATTATGTGACTTGTAGTTACTATAAGTCTCTGACCTACTCTTAAGATTCGTTGGTCTCTGTATAAATGTCTCAGCACAATCAATTATCACAGTTGTACGAGGATAATTTTCCCGAAAAGATTCAGGAATACAAGCTCGAATTGTTTCTCGTGGAAGCCAAACAACCAAGCCCTTAAGTTTTTCAGCAAGAACTGGCATCCAAGAATTAAATAATTTACATGCCAAACTTTTTGAAATGCCAAAGCGACGTCCTAAATCATCAAATATCAAATACAGTTTTAACCTCATCAGTACAAGCAACAGCTGATCTTCAATATCCAGTTGAAAATTGAATTGATTGTCTGCACGAACTAATTCCACTAAAGTAAAAAAAACTTCCTTGGTTACACCAGTATATAATAAAGCGTCACTGTCAGTCACTATGTTCGTATTTGCTGACATGGTCCCCCCTTCTATTTTACTCTGAACACCCTTCTCCTCTGTCAATAAAAGTTTTGTCTGAGTTGATGTTGTCTGCGTGTCTGACCATTTTTCAGCATAGGGATGGTCGTCATGAATAAGAAAGTCCGTCTCATCATACTGGGTAGATTCAGTAACAGTTTCAGGATAAGCTACATTAAAACTACATGTAGCCTCGGGATACGTTTCATTGTCATTATTTACAGAAATGTCTAGAGCTTCAAAACCAGTAGAGTCAGATACATTATCGTCATCAGAATCATTCTCATAATTTAATTTTAGCTTTTTCACAGCCGTTTCACGACGTTCCAACTTGCGTCTGCCGGGTGTAACTTTACTGTCATAACCAAGTTTTAATTTGGGAAACGGATTTCTTTTTGTCGGCGCACCATCAAGAAAATGTTCGGAACATACATAAATACGTTTTGGTAAAGTTTTTCTGTTAATAGCTTTGATCCACTCGAGTTTTGTTAATTCGTCAGAAGGCATCAAATGAAACTTGTATGGGATCAAACAAGGACAGTCATTGTGCAACTCGTTGTGTAATTCACACATTGATTTTTTCCACATCTGAAGTTTTCTACGATTATTTGTACAACTATTAACTACACAAGAATTGCCTCCACCTTTTTTATAACTTTCGGCGCTATCCATAATAAAACAAATAAGAAAATGAAAGAAATACAAATGTAAACAAAAAATCGATAATGTTTTGATCAATGCACGTGCGTTATTTTTCACGGTTGTAATGGCCGATCGGTCACGTGAGAGGTTAATGGATGCGCCCATGTTTTCTAGGTCAGTTGTAGATAAACCCGTCTATAGGCAATTGCAAGTAGTTTTAATTTGAATATGCAGAAACCTATTCAACAACAAATGGAATTTTTTAACGACCTTGACTGGCTTTACAGCCCTTGCACGGTCGGTACCTATTCAAACAAGGGTCATAGTCATTATATAAATTTCAATTTAAGCCTTGAAAGGAAGTATAGAACCCTCAAATAATTTTCAAATTATTATTTTTTTATTTGTCCTAAGACATTTAAAATCATTTAATTACCATCCTTTTATGATTATTTGTTCAATTTATATTTTATTTGTATTCTTTAAAAAATTTTCATTATTTAAAGGAAAGTAACTTAAAACAGGATAAATCAAGGGAAGTAACCCAATAAATACACAAAGTTTTTATTACACAACGGCAGTTACTGAGTTAGCCTGAGGTAAAAATAGTTGATTACCAGTATGTTTGACACCCAAGCTGACAAGTGAAGCCATATAATCATGCATGTTAATTGATTTACAGGTAAAATATAACTTCAGGTAATGTCAGTTACACCAGATGTCTGAGTTGATATGTTGGGCAGAAATTTTTCATTCATGAAAAATTTCATACACGGGATTTTTTTCTCTTCAACGGGAGGTCGGGAGGAGACCCCTGAAAACGGGATTATTGTACTCCCGTCGGGAGGTTCACATGTATGTTTATCTGATGTAAAGATTGTTACGGTTTTTGTTTATTTGACTAAAAACGACTGCGTCCTATGGGTCAAAAACAATGTCTACTACACCTCTTAATTATTCTGAAGTATGATCAGAAAGAATCTTGCAAACTCAATATGTCTGAAGCCCCAAGAGTTTTTCATATTCCATTAATTTTGTAACAGTTTTTGATGCATTGATGTGGAAAGACACTAAAATCTATTTATGATATTTGTTCATACTTTTTTCTGTAAGAGATTCAATGTGTATACAATCAAAATTCAATTTAAAATAAATATAGACTTCCAACTTATTTATTAGAGAAATGGAGTTCAGTTTTAATAATATTACATCTGTAAATTATCATTTTGGAAATAAAACAACAGTTTTAAAAATATAAAAGATAAATACTTTTTAGAGAAGATTAATTAAGATTAATCACTATTAGTAAGTAAATAGAAAAGCTGTACAATTTGATTGATTTACAGAAATATCCAGTTGAATTATCTCCCCTGAATTCTCCCACGACAAAATCGATTCAGATGAAGTGAAAATTATAGACGTTTTTTTTAAATATATGTTTATGAATAAGACAGAATGTGTTAAGCAAGTGTTTTATTGTGAAAACAGAAAATTCTCCGTTTGTTTTTTTAATTTTAAAAACATATGATGCTTCAAACCTCATAACATGCAATAATTGTAAAATGATGACTTGGTTGTTCAGTTGATGAAAACAATGTGTAAAAGTGCATTTGCCTCATAGATATTTAGATAGGTTAAATTATAGGTTTTCAGACACTTTAGATGTGACAGAATGAAGTGGTGTATAAAGGTAAATTCTAACCAATCTACAGTCGACCCTAAAACAAAGTGATCTATATTGTGTAAATCTTATATTTATCTTTATACATACATATCTTATAAAAAAAATACTGGGAATTTGACTTACCTTTTCACCCAATAGTGCCAAATGTTCAAATGACAAATTACCAGCCATTAAACTCTCAACTTGCTTTATCTGAAGTAAATAAAAACATTTTGTTAAAAATAAAAGTGACTGGGACCATTAACCTTGAAATGATAGAATAATTTATATATAACCATAATATTTAGTTTATACCATACAGTTTCAAAGTGATAAAATAATTAGTGTGTCACTGAGCTTTGCTTTTAGCGAAAGATTGTGTATTTTATAAGAATCCTATAGGGAAAAACACAGTTACCTGAGAAAAAAAAATGATGATGAGATATTTTAAAAGAATACTTCAAAAAAATGGGATGAAAATGAGGGTGACCTTTCTGATTTTCTTGCAACATAATAAAAATTTGTAAGGGTTCCACGGAACCCAGTGTCTCGCCTACTTTTGCTGTTAGTCGCAGGCTCAACAAAAATGGGGAAAAAATTATTAAAAATTTTTCCTCTATATACTATCTTTTGATTGTAAGAGGTTCTGTTCAAGTTTGGTAAAAATCCAAGAAGGTTTATGAATCTAATAAATGTTATAAAAACTTTAACTGCAGACTGTACGTAATGTAAACTGGAATAAAACTAAGTCCATCTATAAGTAATATACGGAAAAACAGGAAATAAATTTTTACAAAATTTCCTTCTAGATACTAGCTTTTGATCATAAAGAAGCTTCTGTCCAAGTGTGGTACAAATCCAGGATAGTTTAAGAAAGTTATTAAAATTTTGAAAGCTTTAACCAAAGAGGGAATGTTATGTTAACTGGCAGAAAAATTAAGTCCATTTATGAGTAAAATACGGAAAAACAGGATTTTTTTTTACAAAATTTTCTTCTGGATACCATCTTATGATCATAAACAAGCTTCTGTTCAAGTTTGGTTGAAATGCAGGATAGTTTAAGAAAGTTAACCACAGGGTGAATATTTGTGGATGCCAACAACGACGACGCCGACGGAATGTAGGATCGCTATGTCTCGCTTTTGCGACAAAAGTGGCAGGCTCGACAAAAATAGCAAGGTTTTCAGCACAATCTTTCATTCACTGAAGTTACCTCCCCTTATAAAAGAAAGGTAGAATCTTAAGGTTGTAAAACTGCCCAAAATATTAGGCTTAAGTGTTTTAGCTCATTATCAATGCTATATGCTTATATATCTCAAATTGATAACCTAAACACAATGATATACTTAAACTTCTATTTAGTCCCTTAAATACTGTCTGTATATCAACAAGCCTCGGTAAGTTTTAAGCAATATTAAACAGTCTCATGTATTACTCATATATTTAGGTCGTGCATTGATGAAGTTCAACTTTATTACAATAGCTCTGGTTCTCATGAATTCCATAGAGGCTGTAAAGTGTTGATCACAATGTTAGATAACAATAATTTTTAAAAGACTTGTGCTCTTGGATCATAAACAAGTTCCTTTTCTGTACTTTTGAACCTTGGCAATTTTATTGTATTTTGAATGCTGACAATTTTGTTTTTACTGAATCCTCGAAAAAAAAGAAATTGTTTTTATTGTTCCTTTAAGTTATTCACTTCTCATTGATTATTCTTAATACCATTTAACTCAACAATGTTGACAGAAGTATACAATAAGTATGAAACTTTTCCAAAATAAATGAAGAATGTGACCATTGGACAGATGCCCCTGCTTGTAAATATACGGCAAATTCTGCAATTTTTCAATTTTCAAAGAGACATAACTCATAAACGGCAAAAGTGACACCACCCAAATTCGAACTTGATCTGAATTTGGTGGAAATATGCATTGTGTATAAGTTTCATAACATTTGGTTGAGGCAAACTAAAGTTAGAGAATGGAAACTAATTTTGGGAAGTACGGAAGTACAAAAGGACGTACAGACGGACAAGGGTAAAACTTAATGCCCCCTCTGCCGCGGCAGGGGCATAAAAAGGGGAACTGGAAAGGGGGAAAAAATAAAACATCTATTACTTTTGGTTTGTATTGAGAAAATAGGGAAAAATGGATAATAGCTTTAATTAACTTACTCTGTTTTCAATATTGCTGTATTTTTCTTTCAATGATGATACTTCACCTTGGAGATTCTGTACTGATGAGTCTAAAAAAGGGTGTAATAAATTTTGTATGGAATAGTTTCAGAATTTAAAATCAAACTACATATATTTAGTGCATTGATAAAGTTTCAATCAACCATCTCTTAATACTAGTAAACTTGCTATGATTTTTAAATTTTAATCATGCAAGAATTATAAATAGTAAAAAGGCAAAAATTTGCACTTTCAAACTAACATACAATTTGAAGGTGAATCAACACCCTTAAAAGTAGAAATAAAACTAAAATTCACCAAAAATTTCATCCTTACTCAAACAATTATAGAATTTTACAATGTACTTTAAAAAAATCTGTCTTCTCCATGCTTTTGTTTATCAAAGTGTTTTGTGGGACATAAAAATAATAATAAACAAATGCAATTGTGAGAGCTATAATTTCAATTTAATTTAATATCATTCTTCTAGACTTTTTTCACACAAATCACACCCATTAGTTTAGTTTAAACAGTATTTTATTCAAATAAATTGAATGGGATTGGGCAACAGGCAAAGCCTATGTGAGCCCTCTCCACATCCATTAGAATTATCAATTGTGATATGATGTATTTGTTGCTGAATTCATTATAAAATACTAGGGATAGTAAAAACTATGTATATTTACTCCAAATGAACTGGTTGTACACAGATTTCATGCTTTAATATCTATTGGACAACAACCTTTGAAAATATCTACAATTGGTTGTCATTGAAGAAAAATTGTCAATAACTCATCAATAACAAGCAGAAGTAAACATGTTTACCACAAAAAGTTCATCTTTGATCACACAGAAATCTATAACCATGTAAAGTGTCTGCAATGCAAGTATTTCCAAATGAAAAGGCAAAAAGTCAAAGAATTGATTATGGAGGAGCTTTTCGGGACAGGAGATATCCATTAATTTACACTCCATTTCATTAATTTCTGGTATTAATGAAATTGATTTGCCATTTTAATGATCAATAATATTACATAACATTAAACAAGAAAATGTTCTTGCTTGGGACAAGGTAAAGGACACTTACATGTCAAACAACAGACAGTCAAATCAATATCAGAGTTAACTGTTGCGATTAAAATTCTATAAAATGAATGCCTACATAAAATGTTGACATGGAGATATTTCTATCTGACCTATTCACAATCTTTTTAAAATTGTTGATACCGCCTATACTTAAGCCTCACTGCCCATACCTAAGTCTTGCGTCCACTACTTTGTAGAGGTCAAATAATAAATAAGGAAGAATATTTAATTCACTTACCCCGACATGATAGCCAATAGTATTATAAATATATAATTTTCCACAAGTTTAGCCACAAAAGACTTTAGTTAAGTTTTACTTGTTCATCTTTGATTTTTTTTTATCAAAATGTTAACTGGTAACCATTTGGCTAGAAAAATCAAATGAAAGCGGAAAAATATAAAAACAAAGAAAAACTTCAGTATTTCAATCAGATTATTGAGTAGATGTAAAGTATAAAAATATATGTGGTAATCATCAAGAGGACAGCAACACAACAACACAGTATAATAAATAGGAGTTTTATCCTTATAATTATCAAATGAACTTTATATTTGTTAAAAATTTCAATACCTGATGAGTTTGAGATGATGAGGTATAAACTAATAGAGAGTGAAATACAGGAGATGAAGATCAAAATAACTACAACCAATCTAAGGAGTTTGATCTGGGTCTGTAACATGCTTTCTCTAGTGACTCTGACTTTGTTGTATATACTGGGTGTTGCATTGATCATGGTATCATACAGTGGATTGTATCTTTTCCTGAAATGTACAGAAATAAATGAGCAAAATATAAAAATATCCTTGTTTGTTACAAAGGTAATAACCTGTTTGTAAGTGGCTTTTTAAATATTTCCCCCTTCTATATATTTTATGCCAGGATGCACCAATCACTGTTCTCACATTCACATGCCTCTCAAAACCTACTATGTGTATTGTTCTACCTTGAGTTTTAATAAAGTTGATGGAGAAAGCTATGTAATTTTGTTTGTTTGTTAATGCTGAAGTGAATTACATTACCTGATGTTCAGTGGTTGTTGTTTGTTAATGTGGTTCATAAGTGTTTCTCGTTTCTCGTTTTTTATATAGATTAGACCATTGGTTTTCCTGTTTGAATGGTTTTACACTAGTCATTTTTGGGGCCCTTTATAGCTTGCTGTTCAGAGAGCCAAGGCTCCGTGTTGAAGGCCGTTCTTTGACCTATAATGGTTTACTTTTACAAATTGTGACTTGGATGGAGAGTTGTCTCATTGGCACTCATACCACATCTTCTTATATCTATATACATTGTGTTCTAGTAACTTTTACTTTTACTTAATATTTAATAAAAGTAAATTTAATAAGAAACATGAACAAAAGATGTCTGTTTATATCAAGTACCCATGATATGTTCATGATAGCTACCCATTAGGTAACCCCTTAAAATCTGTATTTCATGCCAAATGACCTTTCTGTTGACAACTAAATGGCAAAAGTTGAAGTTGAAGCCAGCATAATATCAAAAAGTATTTAATACTGGCCAGTGCCTTTTATTCTAAATTCAAAAAAATCTACTGGAGTGTAACAAAATGAACCTACTCAGAACTGTTGTTGCATTATGGGGACATCACTAATATAAATGTTCAGATTGGTCTTCATATTCACCTTAGGTCACTCAGACTTTGCAACATAATGAATAACTACAGTAGTGGAATTTCTCAATTGTTCTGATTCAGTGGAAATCTTTAAAAGTAGGGGATATATATGTTGGATGTACTGTTAAATTTCAATTAAAATAAAAGAGCAGCATTCAAATGTTCCCCGCTGATGAATATATTTTATCTGTCCAAGGGCAATAACTCAAAAACATTTTGTTTTTGTTTTTTAAACTTTATCCTGATAATATATGTATCCTGCACAAAATGTAGGCATGAGATAACTAACAGCATTATTTCTGTATTATTTATATTTCCAAGGGGATTTATTTCTTTAAGGATGTTCGCTACTCTGTTTTAAAATAACAAGTTTTTTTTTTACATCCATTTTCGCTGAACTAGTATACATTTTTGTTTAGGGGCCAGTTGAAGAATGCCTCTGGGTGCGGGATTTTCTCGCTGTGTTGAAGACCCATTGGTGGCCTTGGGATGTTTTCAGCTCTTTGGTCGGGTTGTTATCTCTGACACATTCTCCGTTTCCATTCTCAATTTTATGTTATAAATTGATAGTATATAAAAAACGGAAATAAAAAACCAGAAAAAAATTAAGGGTCCGTGTCCTTCTTTTTGAGATATGAGCCATTGGAAATTCGGAGGGAAATGATTCTCTCCAGATTTTTTAAACGTTAAACATTGGCACCGTTTTTTCTTTCAAAAACTATGAAAAAATAACATGGATTTTATAAGATTTTCAAATATGACTTTTTAAACTATATGTAATAAAGTTATGACAAGAAAAGTAGGGGTTAGACGGCAAATTTTTAATGGCACTACATGGATAAAACCAGAGGATTCTGAATATCTGACAATAAGAATTGTACACATGAGAGAGCTTCAAAGACAGGACGGACAGATGAATGAACTGAGACCAAATTTCTGCTACAAAACAACTTATGACACAACTGCTACCTAGCACCATACAATATGACCCTTACCTTTGCTCCTCATCTTTCTGACTCTGACTTTTAATAATATTTGCTGTGTCTCCAGCATCTGATGGGACATCAGAAATCGTCACAGTGGTGCCAGTAGACGACTGATTATCAGATGATGAAGAACATGGTGACATTTGTGGACCATTAGGTTGTAATCTGGAAAATAAAAAAAAAGTTTATCAATACATGTATACAGTAAATCATTTGTTTGAGCTATACCTGAGATGATGATATTTTACCTTTGTCAACAAATAAAAGGCATAACGATTAACTGAGGATTACCACTCAAATTCAGTTTTCTACAATTCTATTGTTACAGTCCCTGTGACACATTTAGAAACTGTTCATCTGCCAACTCAGGAACAATTTGTGACAACCTGTCATAACACATATCATTTTGTCAATCAGCAACAGCTGTGATGGTGACAATGTTTCTGCAGTACAAAGCTCTTTCCAAAAGGCCAAAATAAAATTGCATGTTGCTCTGGTTGTATATGGTCAGACTTTATGGGCTGGAAGGTTAGAACTTTTCATTTTCATTTTGTTTCCCCAAGTATTATTATGTCTTTCTCATAAATTCCAGCAAGATGTATTAACTAGAGATTCAATTTTTATAATATTGACTTAATCTATGCACAATATTATAAAACTATGCAACTAGACATCCTCAGGATGGCATAAACCTACACTGAAATTTAAGGCAAAGTAAGCTAAAGTGATCTAATTTTGACATGAAAAATTAGATTTAGCAAGTAACCGTGAAACATTATTTTATCCATTTTCAGCAATACCTGGAATGTGGCAGTTCCTCATATTGATGTGATCCATACTCAGCATAGTCATAGGTTTTATTTGTACTAATAGGACGAAATGTTGAGCTTGGTGATGGGGTACCAGTCACTGGAGAAATGGACTGGTCAAGGTCAGCCACACCTGAAAAAATTAGGACAAATATAATATCAAAAGTCATGATTTTATCAAAAATAAAATGACATTAAAATTATGTAAAGACCACCATCATGTAGAGATTGAAGAATTCAATAAAGTTTTGGTTTACAATGTAAGCAAACATCAATTAATAGAACTTCAATGACTGGCTTTTAAATATATAAAAAGATTCTTATATTAGTGGAGAAGGACAATATGAAGGACTGCTGGAGTCAAGAAACCTGACATTTAAATCTATTTCTGTGGTTTCAGTTATTGTGTAGGCCTAATCCCCACTGGATAATGGTCAAATTACTATTTTACTTGGCTATTTTACACGGGAGTTCAAACTGTACAGGTGTTTCTAATACTGGAAGGATGGTTTTAACACCCACTTGCATATTACAGTAGCAGATAATAATTGATGGTATTACAAGTTATTTAGCTGTCAGACATGCAACCTATGACATTACTGTTGTTACTATTGTTAAACATGAACCTTCACTTATGTTACTATTTCCCACTGAAGTCAGCTATTCAATTAAATATGACAAGACAAAAGTATGGGGGTAATAATAAAGTTATATCTACTAAAGTATGGGGGTAATAATAAAGTTATATCTTTATATCATAAAAGTTGTATTTGATTTCATATGAAAGTATATAGAAAATGCATAGTAAGAGAGAGAAAAAAGAAATATGTGTGTTCTTATATTAAATGGGCTTCATAAAAGATATCATGGATGATTTCATAAACTATAAACAATTATCTGACCTAAATTACATCATAATAATCTAGTAACATGCTACATGATTCATGTTTTATCATATACAATTTTTTTAATGAAATATGATGATATAATTCATAGTCTTTAATTTTACATGTTTGAAAAAATAAATGATTAGCATTAAGTATGTTGACTATTAATAAAGTAGGTCAAATATGAGTTGCCATTAGCTTATCAATTGACCAAAATTTTTATTGAGGTTAACCTTAGTCACCACCAATAACAGTATAGTAGTAATTAACAAGAATCAATACGTCATGAAAAAGTTGCAGAATGATAAGGCTAACAAGTTGGTAGGTATATTGGAAATACGCATTGGTCAGTCTCTGCTAAATACTTCTTTTCAACCATTATCCATAATAACATATGAACATTCAATATTTTATTTTCATAGTTTCTTGAGAACTGACAGCATAGTAGAAAACATCTGTGAGCCTTGAAATATGAAAGAAAACAAATATACATCTTTCACCAGGCAAACCCCAAGACCCTTTATCAGTATACCATAAATCCCCTCCCCAAAAATATAGATCTCCATCTAAATTTTGATAATCAGACTTTATAATATCAACTGTGTAATAAGAATTTGGATTTGAAAAAAAAAAAAAAACATCAAAAAATGGAAACCCTATCCAAAAGATGACATAGTAATGACCACGATGACAGATGAATGGACAGGTCAGAAACATTATATCTTCCAATGAGTGCAATATCTAAACTGTCAAAATGTACTATATATGAAATATTATTTGAAAAGTTCATATATGACATGCATGTATGACTATTAGTTGCTTCATTTTTAAATATAAAACTAAAATAATACCTTTTTTAAAACTTTTCAGCACACAACAACACTTTCTCCAAAAACCAAATGATTGATAACCATTCAGATTTAAAAAAAAAAGTTCTCAAATGTAAATGATTTTTTTCAATATTTTGAGAATTCCGTGTTGGTGGCAGATATTTGATAATATTATTAATTCGTATTTTTTAACTAATTTGATTTGTTCAGAGATAGTTACATGTTAAACTATATTTTCGAAGGTTACGAGAAAAAACAGTGGATAGCAAAAAGCATATTGCACGGTTATTTGTATAATATTATTAATTCGTATATTTTAACTACTTTGATTTGTTCAGGGATAGTCACATGTTAAACTATATTTTTGAAGGTAGATAGAAAACGGCGGATAGCAAAAAGCATATTGCACGGTTATTTTTAGAATATCTATAAACCGATATACTTTGTGACGTCATGTAATGAATTTCATGATATTGTTAAAAGTTTAAACAAAAATTATATTTATAATCGATTATTTGAAGAAAAAAATCTTCAAATTCAAAAGATGTACAAAAAAAACCCATAAAAAATAAATGAAATAACAACTAATATGTTGTTATTGTCTAGGAGACAATATGATATATATAAAATTCAAACAAAATCAACTCATCGAATATATTACACTGACGATTTTGATACAATTATGGTCTGAAATTAATAATATAACAATTATAGCCTTTGTATGAGGTCAATACAGGATATATCGACCCAAAGAAGTATATCGACCTCGGACTTCGTCCTCAGTCAATATACTTCTTTCAGATCAATATATCCTTGTATCGACCTCATACAAAGGCTATAATTGTATAGTCTCTCAAATTTATTCACAATTTTATAGATCTAAGGGCAATTTACAGCTTCAGATATTGTTTATAAACCTGTCTATGTTGAAGACTGTTTGATGACCTCTGGATTGATTGGTGATGGCTTACTGTCCAGTGACAAATATTTCATGCATGTTCTGGACGAAATTTTGATATCTGGATGTCTTTTAGTTATATGCAATGTTGGGTTGATGTCTCAATGACATTTACCCCAAATTTCCTTTTATTCATCTATATTCTCTGAAAAATTGTTTCCTATATGAAATATCTTAAACATACTTTCAATTAAAATCTTTAAAAAAAAGTCAATAAAAGTATGTTTTCCCATTCTGTTGGAAAAAAATATTGAAAGGATTTTTTTCAATGGGAAACTTGTGAATTTAATAGTAACCACATTTTATTTATAAAATTATCAGCTGAAAACAATATGTAAAGCCAGACACATGGACAAAGAAGCAAATAATGGTACTTTCTGACCAGTCTTCATGTGCAAAGTTGAAATTTAAATGAAAGAAAAACGAAAGTACAGAAATGTGCATACATAAGATAAATTGTTATCACAGGAAACAGGCTTGTTTCTGATGTAAATCTAATTATACAGTTTTTATTTACATTCAAAAGATTTAGTGCTATGTAAATGAACCAAATGGTTTCTGGTGTTTCATTATCTGTAAAACTAATTACAATGTGTATATATTCTTGAAAAGATATTTACCATTAATTTACTAAAAATTGTTATTTAAAAAATACTTAAGAAAATACACATATGTCTCCATTATTTGATTGAAATGGAATATCTATTCAACATCATAAAACATTTTATTTCTGTTATTTCACAGTAGTGCAGATTAATTGAATTATCATTGAGTGGTAAAAAAATAAAATTTTTAAATATATTGTCAGAGTTTTTGAGAGTGCAGTTGACTTATTTTTGTTATTTTGTTTATTTAAAAACACAGATTGTCTCCAAAGAATTCGTTTTGTGTTTGGGTGGTAGAGGTTGGGATAATTGTCTTGTTTTATATAAAAAGGATTAAGATTCAACTACTTTAAGTATCATTTTTTCTTGTTTTCCAGGGCACATTCCTATGAATGATGTAGATTTTTCTGAGCTTATTTGTTAGATTGCTGTATTATTAACATATTATATTTCATCCATAACTATCGCATATTAAAAATCTGTGTTTACTTCTAAATGTTTTAAATGTACACAATGCCTAGACTTTTTTTAATCTAATAGAAGGTTTTAATATAAGGTATATTAAATTCTGTGGTTGTTCAAATAATTCTCTCAATTTGACATTATATAATACTGTGGGCTACTTTTACCTGACATTTTAATAACTGTGTTCTATAAAACTAAGAAAAAAAGTTGATCTTACTTACCACATTTCTCATATGGTATATCACTTTGCTTTGTATATCTAAAGTCATTGTAATATTCCGGCATGATTGAATTGAGGATTTCACACAGTTTGTAATAATCTATATTGCTACAACACTACAATACACTTGATGAATATCTAGCCTCAATAAAATATCCCACACAAATACTTCTATGAAAATATGCAGAATGTTTTATCAACCAGCAAATGTCAATTTCACTAGAAATCAAATTATTTTGCGGGTTACAATAAATGTAAACCATGTGTGTTAGTGTCTTGTTTACTGAATACAAATAATTTGTACACTGAATATTGTATACCAAACATAACATTTATCAATCAACTTGTTTTGAATAGCATTAGTGACCTCTGACCCTTATCTTCTCTATCCTTGAATGATTATCTATATTTTTTAAGCAATTAAGTTTTATTTGCTTCAGGTTAAAAAAAAACTCTATAACAATTTTGTCTTTAAAATATAATTGTGAAGGAAATTATAAAATAGCTCCTTAGCAAATATATTTAAATTGGATACACAAGTCCCACACAGTTGGACATCAAATTGTAAAGAAACAGTTTATATGATAACAAACCACATGTACTTCCGAGGACCATCCAAGTGTACTAGTTAAATGTATCAAATGAACTCTTATTATTATCGTTATATACATCATTTCTTTATCTTTTTTATAAAACTTTTTTAAATCATCCATCTTAGAAAGACTTTTCTTTTAAAATGTCCCCTCCAAAAAAAACAAAAAAAGAACAAGAAAAAAATGAATGTTACAGAACTTTTCTTACTTCTGATTCCTTGTTGTATTAGAAAATAGGGGGTAGACAAATGGACAAAAAAAAAGGAAAGGAGACCAAATGAGCAAAAGATAGAATTAAATCTTACTTTAAAATCAGAAAAAAAAAAAGATAATTTCACTAGTGTTATATATAAATATTTCTAATATAACTAATATAATAAAATGTTCAAATATATTCTTCAAAAAATGATTCAATCATATATATCTGCAATTAAAAATGTATGTGAGTTAAATGATGGGACAAGGCAGCTATGTAATGCTAGGAGGTGTTGTCATACAATTAAGTTAGAGGAAAAAGTATATGTTCCAGCTCCTGTAAGAAGGGAGTAAATAATCAGATCTACCCTAACATTGTC